TTTTTTTTTTTTTTTTTTTTTTTTTTTTGCTTTTCCATATGAAGTTGAGTACCATTCTTTTGAGGTCTGTGAAGAATTTTGCTGTGATTTCGATGGGCACTGCATTGAATCTATAGACGGCTTTTGTTAAGATTGCCATTTTTACTATGTTAATTCTACCTACCCAAGAGCATGGGAGATCTTTCTACTTTCTAGTGTCTTCTTCAATTTCTTTCTTCAAAGATTTAAAGTTCTTGTCATACAGTTCTGCCACTTGTTTGATTAGAGTTACGTTGAGATAATTTATTCTATTTGTGGCTATTGTGAAGAGTGATGTTTCTTTGATTTCTTTCTCAACCCATTTATCATCTGTGTACAGGAGGGCTACTGACTTTTTTTGAGTTAATCTTGTATTCTGCTACATTATTGAAAGTGTTTATGATTCATTGGTTCAGTCCTGCTCCTGTGGAGTTCACTGCCTCAGCCCTGCTCTGGCCTAGGTAACTGGCTCTGTTTTGTTATATAATTTTACTATGTTAAAGTTAAAACTTTCTTTTTTCTATAGACATAAAAGGGGAGATGATTTGGGATTCCCCTCTATATGCTATGAATATGTTTTTTATTACCACTGGTTATTAAAGAAATTGTTTTGGCCAATGGTTTAATAGAGTAAAGCCAGTCAGGAAATCCAAACAGAAATAGAGAAAGTAGGCAGAGTCAAAGATGATGCCATGTAGCTGCTCAAGGAGAAAGATGCCAGACCCTTACTAGTAAGCCACAGCCTTGTGCCAATACACAGATGAATAGAAATGGGTTAGTTTAAGATATAAGAGCTAGCTAGGAATAAGCTAGAGTCATTGGCCAAACAGTGTTGTAATTAATATAGTTTCTGCATGATTAGTTACGTCTTGGGTGGTTAGTAATGAACAAGCAGTCTCCATGTACACCACTCAAGTTGTCATGTAGGAAATAAGGTCTTGGTCTAAGATGATGCTAGGAGCTAAACTGTACATTGAATGAATAAAGGGCCACCACTGCTGTCTGAGTGTGAGGACAATGGCTAGAGGGCAAGGTCTGTGTGGGGATAGATCAGTCTTTAATCCAATGAAGAACAGCAAAACACAATAAAAACTCAGGGTCAGAAACTGGGGTTCGATATGAAGATCTGAAAAGCAAAACAGCCACTGGCTCTTACCTTGACCTCAGTCTGAAATGGTGATCCTGCCTTCCAGAATCTCAGAACGAGACTGTCTCTGAGAGCTGTGTTACCCCATCTTATATCCCTCTCTAGGGCTGGGATCAATTAAAGGCATGTGTCACCCAATCTCTATGGCAACTAGGGTGGCTACTGAGATTAAAAGTGTGTGTTACCATAATCTGGTCTGTAAGGCTGACCAGTGGGACTGTTTTACTCAGATCTTCAGGCAGTATTTATTAAAATACATTTGAAATGCCACTGTATCGAGTTTCCTGTGACTGCAATACCCAAGGTGGATCTATTTCATAATATTCTACCCATGGTATATTAGAAGTAGCTCCTAGCCTGGCCAGCAGCTCCATTTCCTTCTGAAAGGAAGGGTTTATCTGCGAGCTAAACTCCAGGCTTCATACAAGTGAACAACTACCAGTGTTAAGATGGATTCAGATCCCACCTGCGTGAAAGAAGCTATGCCTAAACAAGCAGTTCTTGGGTTTCAAAGCCTGTTTTCTTCAAGGAGCCTCTGGAGACACGGGGGGTCTGTGTTGCGGCAAAGGGTACTCTCACCCATGTGTTTGTGGAAGTGAGAGAGTGAGCATGTCAGCAGGGAGGAGCAAGTTGCTGGGGTCTGAGGCACCTTATGCACTCCCATGTTTCCAGGGTTCAGTCTCAGGAGAATCAGTCCCTGAAATGGGAATGGGATGCAGGCTTAGGTGGAAGGCTGGTTTCAGCCAGACCAGCATGTTCATTTTAACCTGTCATTGCAGATCTGGGGTGCCTGATGTTCTCAACTCATACAGAAACAGGTGAGAGAAGCCAATGACCCAGTTCATTCTTTTTCTTTGGGGTCTAGTTTTTATTGTATGTGGAATGAGAATTAATAGATATGCATGTAAAGATTTGTGTATTAAGTATCCACAGCCCCCCAACAGCTAAGGTCTGGCCACACAGTACTCGAGGTTTCTGTAGCCATAGTTCAAGGGAACACAACTCGTGCTACTGGTTTTAAATTGGTAAAAAAAAAAAAATAATAATAAAAAGGAAAGCAAGGGAGTCAGGCAATGCATAGCAGGACTGTGTTTCCTTCAGGGAGTTCCCAAGCAAGAAATCTGTGAAGATGAAATCTCAATTCCAATGGAGAGACCTGGATGTTGGAGATTCCAAGAAAACAAGATATCCTCCCAGAAGAGCCACAGGTCCTGGCTGGGTGAAGCTGCAAATAAAGCAGGAGCTGTTCCAGCCACTGGCACACAGGTGATGTCCTCGTAAGCCCCAGATGCTAGATATGGGGCTACAGGGGTTAACATTTACCCTCTGGTCTGGTATGTCCTTGCTATCTCCCAGGTAATTCGGTCCAAGCTAAGGCCAAGCTTTTATAATTAATGACGGATCTGTGTTGTTATTGGGAGCTGGTTGGGGGACAGAGAAAGACCTGTTACTCTTTCATATCAAAGAGGTTGCCTCGAATCTCAGTAGACACTTTGCAACAGTGAAGTTGTGAAGATCTGGGACTCTGATAGTTGAATGTAGTTGCATTTATGAGGTAGTCAAGAGTGGAAGGGGACTAGGAACACAAATGCTACGGTTCAAATCTGCAGTCTCCCACAGACTCATGGGAAAAACTACTATCGTAAGTTCCTAACACTACAGATGGAGCTGCTCCGGCCACCCAACCTTCTCTGACAAGAGGGGCTGTGTCATGTGAAACCGGGAGCTCAGGTAAGCCCTCCTTTAAGTTCTGTCAGGTGTCTTCAGATGCACCATGTGGTACCTCATGGTGCTAGTGGGTCAGCTGTGGAAATAATAAAGGCTTCCTTATCTCTCCTACTGGTATATCCAAAGTCTGCTCGGATCCACAAGTCTTACCAGCAGGGGAGCTAGCTGCTACCAGATGCTAAGATATGTGAAATGTAGTCCTGACGGTTCAGCTCCTTAGAGGACTGAAAATAAAGGCATTTCACGGCTTTAAAAGAACTCGATATGGTGGTGCATGCCTATAAATTATAGTATATGGAGGTACACACAGGGGGACTGAAGGTTCAGAGTTTAAAGCCAGCCTGGGCTACATGAGACTCTGCCTCAAAACAAAGATAAAACCCACAGGGACAAATTAGAACACACCATCTAATATTTGATCAGTATCAGTAAGGGAGCATCTGAGACCATAGGCCCATGGAAAAGCTTTGCCAAGTACTGCCTGGTGCCCATCTTCTGATCTCAACTTTACAAAGAAGCTCATATGTACTTTCTCTGTTGCCATCTGTCACTCTTGGGGAAGTTTCCAACACTCAGTATCTCAGAGTATTTCAAATGGTCCAAACATATTCTCATCACCTCCAACAGGAATTAGAGCCATTCTCAACGGTTACCAGGCACAGCTTCTTCACGGGCAGGAGAGCAGAGGGCCAGCAATTGAAAAACACAGGTCACAGCACCTTTATTCACCATCATACAAACAGATGTGACATGAAACACCCGTCGAGTTGCAGAATGGTCTTCACAGCCCTCAAAACCTATGGGAGCCCCAGGTGCTGCCTCTGACTCTGTATACTGAATGAGAATGGTGTGAAGGACAAAAGATCTGCCTTCCACGAGGGGGCATTCTGCAGAGGGCTTTCACGGTACAGACCCTTTTCCTGAGACCATATCCACTTGCTAACACCATCCTAGAGGGTGGAGCCCTGTGCTCCAACTGTGAGTTTTATCCTGTCATGACATGTGACCCTACAACATTACCATTCACAAGGTTTAAGCAAATTCCCATTATACATTTATTTATGTGAACCCAGACAGTCACAGGGCTTGTTGAACACATAACTATGCGCCTGCCCACCTTAGACCAGTTAAAAAAAAAAAAAAGACTTCTCACCAATCAACAATGTTTATGATGTATGTGGGGCAGCTGGAGTGTGGAGACGCCTTTGTTTTACAGCTCAGTCTGCAGAGTAGCTGTAACTATGCTAAGACAACCTGCTTGCCCCACTCAGTGACTCTGGTAAGACCATGTGTCACAAGGCTGGTTTTATCTGAGCTCCTGCTACAACAGCAGAAGCAGATGCCTCCGTGTGTTTAAACAGTGGCAGCAGGGGAGACTACACAACCCAAGCTCTGGCTTTCAACAAGATTTGACAGCCTGACTGGAGGCACAAAAGCACATCTTTATAAAATAAAAATGTGATTTCAAAAGTGTTTATTTCATAGGAAGAGAATAAAAGCCAAATGTTAGTAAGTGTCTGACTAAGCTCAATGGTCGTTTGGGCTCAGCTTGTTCATCTTTGAGAGGCTGTAAAGGCAAAGAGGAACTGTGGACTGCCCACTGCTTCCGTAGCTTCCTACACTAGTTATATTTATTTGGAAAATGAAGGCAATGTTTTAGAAAACAGTTTACCCCTCGCCCAAGTTCATCTGCTAAGGGTACTGTATACAAAGCAGTTAATTACACACATAAATAACATAAAAATAACTGTCATAAGTTAAGCTGTCCAAGAATCTCCCACCACACCAACAACTGAGAGGTGAGACTGGCCTGTGTGGATGGAGAGGGTGTGGGCCAAGTAATCCACAGACCAGCAGGACCCGTCTGAGTGCCATCTCTTCCTTAGGCTCCAACTGTATAACACAAGCTCTAGCCCTATCCTCAAAGCTTGCTCTCTGGAAGGAGATGCTGAGAAAGTAGCATCTCGTCTGACACCAGGCTGACTGCAGCTTCCTTTGCCCTGCTGGTTAGCTGCCAGGGTCTCAGCAGGGCAGCTGCCCACATCCGGCTATAACCAGGAAACACAGGACCAAGGACAAAGTAAGGCAAGTTTGTCTTCAACCTCTTCTTTTGTGTGATATTAAAAATTGGTAAGAAGAGCAAGACCAGACTCCTCTCCTCTCACCTTGTCTCTTTGCGTCCCTGTGCTGGGACTGTGGCCACCATGATGACAGCCTGTCCTACTGCCCGGGATAGTACAGGTGCTGCCATGTCTCCCAGAGCTGGGTGTGGCCAGCTTACCTTCACTGGGTTTCTTAAATCACTAGCTACACTTCTCTCCTGTAGAGCTGAACTCCTCCATTTCATAGGAAATTGGTTGTCAGACACAAACACCTTTGGAATTAAGGCTTACACAGAAAGAAAATGTGAGTTCACTCCCCATCCTCCATTCAGGGGTGTGGCTAAGCTGCAATGTAATACGTATGTTTGGATGGCAGAGTCCTGAGATGGCTCTGAGGAGCATTAGGATTTGAGCATGAGGGTTCACTTTGCACACAACTGTGTGTGCCCTCACACAAGGCACCTGTGCACAAGACAGGGACCAACACCCTACAGTGCAAACGACTTTATCATATTAAAATAAATCAATATTGGCCACAAGAGGGCCATAATACATAAAGTGGTTATGAAATAAAATGAACAGACTGTTCCCAAGATGCTTTTTGTGCCTGACCTAGGGGCCTCCCATGAAGGTCATGAAACTTCTCATACAAGGCCTCAGGTCACAGCCCTATGACAAACAAATTGAGACTTCAGAGGAAGAACTACTTGACTTCTTTGTCCCTGCTTGTGAATTCAGGAGCAAGGAGAAACCTGGGTTTACTTCTGTGTGCTGCCTGAGAAGGCTACCCATGTTTCTGTATAATCACTGGAGTGCTAAAGAAAACAGATCGAATCTCCCTGGTCCTCGGGATATCACACCTACTTCTAGGACCCTGCTATCTGTGTCCCTGAGCCCCATGACAACTGCAGACCTCTGAGGGTGACACTGTGGTCTGGCCAGACAGCACCACCTAGGGGAAGCACATGGTGTAACTCCAGAGTGCTTTAAGCTCCTGCTGGCCAAAGGCCATGGCACCAGCTGAGGTGGTAACTTTGCAATGCTAGCCCAACCTCAGTGATTCTGTCATGTGCATACTCTTCCTGTTTGGTACCCAGCAAATAAACCTCTAGGCTGCAGAGCCCTCCCTGAAGCTCAGCCAGCTCTGCAGCTGCATGATCAGTAGCTGTACATCTGTTGCTGTTCATTTTGTACCTGGGGTTGCACTGCCTGTGGCGGGGCTGCAGGAGCCTGTGGTGGCTGCAACACGTCCGTCTGGGGCACGGCCCGCCATGTGAGTGGATGCTGCTCACTAAGTTGGCTCCCCAGGGGTGTGATGGAGTTCACCAGTGTGGTAAGGTTGATGAAGTGGGCCACTGACTGAGGGTTTGAGGCTTCTGGCTGTGGGTGGATCTGGACATCATTTTGGCGGTTGTGCAACATGGCGGAGCCACTGACTGTGTCAAAGGTCACAGTCAGGATGGAGTTGTCCAGCTGTAGCTGGCGTTCAGGGTTGGTAAGGTGTCCAACAGCCACTGGCTGTAGACTGGTAAACTGAGTCCCAGCTGTAGTGGTGATAGGGGTCACGGTGATGTTGGTCAGGCCAACAGAGCTTGATGGAGTAGTCACATTGGGGTCCCCTAGGGTCACCACCACCTGCAAGAATCACATAGAAAAAGAGACAATGAATTATTTCTGCAAAAAGGAGAAAGGCAGAACACCCCCACAGTACCTTCCTGCTGGAGGCCACGGTCTGTGATGGAATTGCATGCTCAGGCAAAAGAACTAGAGCAAGGCCTCCACTGGGAAAAGCAGAACACAGCATCCTAGGAGAATTATACCAGTGGAAAAGAGAAAGGAAATATGGACAGTTCTCAGAGGCAACGCTGGGATGGGAAAATCAAATGAATGTCACTGGCCAGAACAAAGAGTGAAGTGTGCCCAGAGTTGAGGAGGACGGTTCAGCTGACAAAGTGCTGGCTGCTGATTCACGAGGACCTGCATGCTACCCAGTACCAACATGAAAGCCAGGTGCAGCAGCAGAGGCAAGAGTCAGATCACAATACAGCGAGGAAAGCAAGTCCGAAAATCCAGGAAGCCAACACTTTACCTTCATCTACCCTCTGACCTGCCTGTCTTGTGGCCCAGTAAAGCCTGTGTAGCTATGGAGGCGCCACAGCTGTGGTTTCCTCATACCTAGTGCTGAAAAGCGAGACGGACGCAAGCCGGCTTACTGCAGACTCACCACCCACAAATACGAGGCAGAAGTGGGGTCTCAGCAGACAAAGGGACAGAAGATAAGCAAAGCAGAGACTGCACAGAGAGGCCAGCTCAGTGGCTCATGGCTGTCCAGTTCCTGCTCCGAGACAGGCCCCCTGGGGCACCCAATTGGGAACCAAGTCTCAGTCTCTCACTGCTAACATGTCACACTGTTATTGACATGGCATGCGTGGTCTGGAGGTCACAGGTGGCACAGCTTCACGAGACATTGCCTACCATGGTGCACACCCACATACCCAGAGGAGCTGCCCCTGCAGAAGTGGCTGTCACCTGATACACAAAGACACCAACCAACCTGTTGGATACTCTGCACAGCAGAATTTGTCTCATCACCCACACTGCCTGTGAACTCTGGCTCCTTTTCGGGGTATTCGCTGAAGGTGGTGTCCTCGGGCACTGGAGCCCCGGGCTCCTCATCTGGTTTCTGCTTTCTCTTGTGGCTGCGCTTGGCAGCCTTCCCATGTTTCCCTTCTGCCAGATCCTCCTGCTCCAGGCCCAGTGCAGGCTGTAAGGAGATTGGCGTTAGTAACCACCAGGGCAGTGGGCTACAGCTGGATGGATCATTCACTCCTTTACAACCCACGGGCATCAAGCTGTCACAGGAAGTGGCTATTTTGTGTTTGAATAGAAACATCGTTAGAGGAGAAGTATTTCCCTTGAGGGGAGTTTTAGGCTCAAAGAAAGGGCTTGTGAGCCACTATCCACAGCAGGAACAACACTGGACGTAAACACTTGATTAAAACTATGCAGGCATTTTCTGCTCCTTTCTGTTCAGGCTTATGCTTTCCCTTATGCAGCTCTGAGAGTGGCCAGCATGGCTGAAGGTCAGGGGCACAGTGGCTGTAGGGCCTGTGTCCTGTCACTGGTACTCAGTGCCCTTGTGTGGTCCTGGGGCAGACAGACCGACCAGGAACTGGTCAGAGTATGGTGATGGAGAGACTTTTTCCCACCCTCACATGTGAATTGCCAAGCACATAAACGGCTCATAGAGGGGCTAGATGTGAATTCTATCCATTCCATAAGACATGGCCACCTGAACTTACACTCAAGTCAAAGCACTTGGGTACAGACGTCCTAAACACAGCGTAACATACTCTGTGACTAAAAATAAAAAAAGTGCTATAAAATTATTCAGTATATCCAGACATGATGGTGCATGCCTGGGATTTTAGCATTTGAGAGGCAGAGGCAGAAGGGTCAGGAGTTCAAGGCTAGTCTTTGCTATACAGCAGGCTCAAGATCAACCTAGACTGTATGAGATCCTATCTCAAAAAAAAAAAAAAAAAAAAAAAGAACTGAGTAAAAGTTCCTTTAAAATCTAGATTTGGCCTGGTATGGTGGTACACATTTTAATCCCAGCACCGGCGAAGCAGAGGCAGATGGAGCTCTGTGAATTCAAGGCCAGTGTGGTCTACATAGAGCTCCAGGATAGCCAGGTACACATAGCAAGGTCCTGTCTAAAAAGGAAAAAAAAAATTCTATGTTTGCCTAACATTGTTAATTTTGCTTAAGATAATTTAATCATAATAAATGCCAACCAAATCCCAGTGAGACTGTGCTGATGTGTAAGGTGTGGTCAACGGTGCGTGTCTGGAGTCTGTTCCTACATGTGGAGGTCTGCGCCCCTCATACCCCAAGCCCTGCGGGTACGTTCTGTGCTGCTCACCTGGACAATGCCAATGGAGGTGGCATCAATGGTGGTGGTCTCAGGGAGGTGGTCCAGATCGTCAATCCGCACAGCGAGGACCTGAAAGGGGCAGAGGGCAGTGTACAGGGTTGCTGTGGCCACCCAATGGCTGCCCAAATTCACTATGCAAGGGCCATTGCTGTCAGAGACTGCAGCTAACTGACAAACTCACCTCTGCTTCTGACTCCTAGGGTCAGGTCTGACTTTGAAACTATTTCTAAAATGCTCTCCAGAATATGCCTGAACCCTGTGTTCTGACCCCCATCTCAAGTCTCTACACTGCTGTCTGGCCTGGTGGGAACACCTGGTACCTGTCTGTTATCTTCTGGCTCCTGTCCTTAGATGGAGGCGGCTACATCCTCCTTCTGTAGCCTACATGACATGTGCTCTCAGTGAGCTATCAGTGCGCCCTCTGTCATCACAGGGAGCTCAGGGAGCTAAGACAGAGCAATAAGCCTGTCCTACAGGAACCACCAATGGAGGGTTTTGTGGGTCTAACATTGTACCCTTTAGCCTAAGGCATGCAGCTATGTGCATGTCTGCCTAGTCCTGCCTTTTCTCAGCCCCACTCACAAGGGTCCTTAGCACGCAACACTCACTCCATGACCTGTCCTATGAGCCCAAACAGCCTCCCCACCATGGCGAGCAACACTAGTCAGCCGCTTACACTCACGTAACTGGTGACTAAGTCCTACGTAAGGCAATAGACATAAACACAGGGAAGAAATGAATGCACTGGGAAGGTGTGAGAAAGGTGAGCTGCCAAAGAAACAAGGTGTAGAGAAACTGTAGGCCTGGGGAAGGCTCACATCTAACCTCACCCCAATGGCCCTTAAATCTGAGTGGAAAAATGTACACTATTCGTTGTAGGGGTTCGTGGGGGTGTCAGGGAGCTCCATCTTTGGACCTCTAGACAAAAGCCCATTCTGTGCCCTTTTCTGAACCATGCTTGAGCCAGCAGAACACAAATGGGCTCTGAGGACTGTGTCTCCTGCTCACATCAGCACTTCAGGGACCCAGAGGAAAGTAGAAGTCTTCCTGGTGTTTCTTATACTTGTATACATTTCTTCTCCCATGAACTCTCTTTCCCTACACACTGGGTTTTCCCACTGAATGGTCGTTACAGCTGACACTAAGTCTGTATCGATTAAAGAAAATACTGCTCACAAAGGTGTTCAGTTTACACCCCCCCCACACTTTATAAACCTACAGAAATCCCAAGAGCTTCCCTGCTCAGACCTAGTAATATTTTGTGACCCTTGTGCTCAGAAAGTCTCTCTTCTTAGGGGTCTAGTAACTTTAACTTTGTCTAGTTTTGTTGTCGTGAGAAGAAGATGGTTGGGCTGGGGCTCAGTTGACTGAGTACCTGCCTAGCATTCTGAAGCCCTGGGTTCAAGGTTCAGAACCACATAAACCTGCATGTGGTGAAGCATGTCTGCAATCCCAGCACTCAGAGAAGTGGTAGAAGGACCCCAAGTTCAAAACGTTACTCGGATACATAGTGAGTTCTAGGCCAGACTGGGCTACACATGATCCTGCCTTAGGAAGGACAAAAAAAAAAAAAAAAAAGATGATACAGTTTCGACATAAGACCAGGGCTCGACCTTCAACTCACACTGCACCAGGACAAAGGGTCTCAGAGCAGAACAGGTACTCCCATCCCACGGTGGGGCCAGGCTATGCTATGGAGAGAGGGGAATGAGTCCCAGGCTGACCTCAGGGTGCTTGCGCCGCATATGTCTGCTCATGGAGGCCCGGGTGGACACCTTGGTGCCACACAGCTGGCAGCTCTGTGCTTCCACCTTGTCGTGGGTGAGCTGGACATGTTTCTGCAGCATGTACTCTGTGACGTACTTCTTGTCACACACGGAACAAGTCCACTGCTTGCCCACTTCGCACACACATAAGTGGGGTAGAAAAGAGAAATGCAAGTCAGCAGACAGCCATTAATACTTAAGTCATCTCCCAAGCCAAGCACCTGCCATTCCCTCTGCTCCTCTAGAGAGCCATCACCTGGGCAGACCAGTCGGTCACCAACGCCTAAGACTAGCAGGAACAACTGGCCTTCGTCCTTGAAGAATACACACTGGAAAGGTACAGTGGGGTTTAGAGGCCAACGGGCTGCATTAAACCAGGGAGTTTTATTCTGCAAGTGTTTATGACTGGGCTGGTGCTCTCATCCCTACACACTCGGACAGCCTGAACCATCCTTGGGCCGCAGTTACCTGTGTGGATGAGCTTGTGGGTCTCCATGGTGTTCCTCTCGCTGAATGTCTTCCCACACAACTCGCACATGAAGTCTTTAATTCCTGCAGGAAAAGTCAAGTTCAGTGTCACATACTTAGTGGGTTTTCAGTTTAAGTATATACAGAGGATGTCTCATGCTTCAGGATTTGTAGCACCTAAGGGGAATGGTAAATAGAAGAAAATTTGTATTTATTCTCAGATTTACCTAGAAAACTATGGCCTCAAAAATTTAGTCCATTATATGACATTTCATATTTTTAAAAAATGAAGAGATTGGGAAGGCCTGAAAACACAGATGTAGAAAAGAGACCCACGGGTCGAGAAAGCAACAGTTTCTCAAAGCAGGGTTATTCACCTAAATCCCTTCTTAGCCTCAAAAGGCTAGCTCCTGAGACATGGAGTAAGAGATTAAACAGCAAGAGAAAGTCAGGACAAGGAGAGACAGTAGAGCAGCTGTGGTCACACAAACACCAGGGATTTTTTTTTTTCTCTATCCACAGGATGAACAAGATAAATCAGAATCCATCCTAGGAAGCAAGGATGGTTCATTCTGTATACATTGGCACATGTGATATGGCACATCAATAGAAAAAAAGGGGCAAAGTATCAGCAGATATAGAATCTCACAATCATTTCAAATAGACGCAGAGAAAGCATTTGATAAACAAATGTTCCTTCAAAATAAAATGTTAACAAACCAGGTGCAGAAGAATCATACCTCAGCACGAGGCTGTGCATGGCAAACCCAGAGCCAGCAACTGTACCAAAAGGGAGACACTAAAGCAGTCTCTACTACAGTCTGAAAGGAGACAAGGTGTCAGTTCCCATGCTGGTAGTCAAGATAGCACCTCAAGTTTTAGCATGGCCATCAGGCAAGAGAGAAACAAAACACAAGCATGCAGGAAGAGTGGAAGTCAAATCATCCCTATTCGTACAAAGCATAACTTCATGTGGGGAAGCAAGAAGACGCCACCAAAATCTGAACTGGTAAGAATTAGAATTACATAACACACAGACACCCAACACACAAAAATGCACAAAGAACTGAAGGTAAGGATGTTTCAGTGAGCAGAGTGCTCACCTGGCATGCACAAAGACCCAGGTATGACCTGTGTACTGCATGAACCAGGTGTGGCAGTGTACACCTGTAATCTAGCACTCAGCAGAGACAGGAGGATCCAAGAGTTCCAGGTCACCTTTAGCTACATAACAAGTTCAAGACCAGCCTCTGGAGGAGGAGGGGAGAAACACACACACACCAATAATATTTATCTGTTGGGGAGAAAATCGTGAAAATATACATCGCCTACATGTAGGAAAACGTTATGAAGCCTGTCATTTTGTAAAGTTAAAAAACAAATCCCGAGAGTGAGTCGGAAGTTCAGGTCAGACTTTTAGCTGGCGCTTCTAAAACTAAGAATTTCCATGTTCAGGACAGGGATTCTGTGCTCAGTAGTTCAGTCTTCAGATATACAACAGATCAAGATGAATGGCGTGCAATCTCTCATTGGCACACACTGCATTCACCATAAATTTACCAAATTAAGACTTCTAAATCACCTGAAGATATGAAAAATATGGTGGGGATCCCTGGTGCCCACATAAGCTACACACTGTTACCAGGATAATTAGTACAAAAAATGTATCAACACTGGGGAAAATATACAGTCAAGATGCTGGGACTACTGGAAGGACATAGCCCTCAAATTCACAAGAACATCCCTTCAGGTAATACTAAATTGAAAGTAGTCAAACACCTGATAGAGCCCAGGCCCTGGAGCTGCTGCAGGGACTTCAAACAGAGAGTCAGTCATCCATCACGTGCCCCAGGGGCCCTGGAGTGTTAAAGCATTGGCTGCTGAGGCCTGTGAAACACGCTGGGAAGATTGAAGACACCACAGCCTCAGATTACAAAATACAAGTCATTTTTATTTAAAAGGAAGTCTTTAAAGTCTATTTTATTTTTTGGTTTTTGAGACAGGGTTTCTCTGTGTAGCCCTGAATATCCTAGAACTCACTCTGTAGACCAGGCTGGCCTCAAACTCACAGAGATCCAACTGCTCAGCCTCCCAAGTGCTGGGATTAAAGGTGAGCGCCACTGCTGACTGGCTTAAAGTATATTTTAAGAATCACGAAAGCTATTCCAGTCACAATAACTACAAAAAAAAAAAAAAAAAAAAAAAAAAAAAAAAAAAAAAAAAAAAAAAAAACCAAACCTCGAATAGATATAATAAAAGCTGGGAAATGTTCCTACAATGAAAATCATAAAGCCACTGAAGACACCAAATAGAGGAGAGATGTTCCATATTCATGGACTCTAAGAATGTTAAAATGTCGACACAAAGTGAGTTACAGATTCAGTACAGCACACCAATGACTTCATCACAGAGCCAGGAAAACAATCCTGAAGGGCAGCAGAAGTGACCCAGAACAGAACACAGAGCTGCAGGTACCAGAGTCACAGGCACAAAACCACAACGGTACTGGCATGAGAAACAAACTCACACATCCACAGAACAGATCCTAAAATAAAAACATGCATGTACAGTCAACTGAATCTCAACAAAGTGCCAGGAAAAATGCATATCTACATCCAGAAGTTTCAAACTTGACCTTTATCTCTACAAAAACCAACTTAGAACGGGTCAAAGATTAAATATAAGACCTTGGTACTAAAAGAAAACTTAGGAGACACACTACAGCAATGGCTTTGAGATGATCCTTGAAGTCCAGGAAACAAACAAAACAAAAAAACTACACATCAAACGATGAGACTTCTCCAGAACAAAGGAAACAGTGCACAGAGCAAAGAGACAAGAGATACAATGACAGAGACATCCGTCAGTCAATCATGAGACGGAAGGTTAATACAATGTATAATGAACCAAAACTTTATTTAGAAATAAACAACACAGCTAAAACCAGAAATGATCAGAATAGACACAAATAAATGAAAAAATGATCACTATCATCAGCCACCATGGACCTGAAAACCCAACAGTAATAAGGAGCCATCTCACCCTAGTTATGACTATTATTTTTTTTTTTTTTTTTTTTTTTTTTTAGTTTTTTAAGACAGGGTTTCTCTGTGGTTTTGGAGCCTGTCCTGGAACTAGCTCTTGTAGACCAGGCTGGTCTCGAACTCACAGATATCCGCCTGCCTCTGCCTCCCAAGTGCTGGGATTAAAGGCGTGAGCCACCACCTCCCGGCCAAATATTTATTTATTTATTATGTACACAATATTTTGTCTGTGTATGTCTGCAGGCCAGAAGAGAGCACCAGACCTCATTACAGGTGGTTGTGAGCCACCATGTGGTTGCTGGGAATTGAACTCAAGACCTTTGGAAGAGCAGGCAATGCTCTTAACCGCTGAGCCATCTCTCCAGCCCATGACTATTATTAAAAACAAAAAACATACTGGGCAGTGGTCGCTCCTGCCTTTAATCCCAGCACTGGAGACGCAGGTGGATCTCTGTGAGTTTGAGGCCAACCTGGATAGAGTGACTTCTAGGACAGCAAGGGCTACACAGTGCAATCATGTCTCAAAAACTAAAACCAAACCAAAACAACAAAAACAAAACACTAGAGAGATATGGAAAACAAAGATCTCACACTGGTGGTGGGATGGACTTGTGATCCTTGGCAGACACAGGGTACTCAGTCAAAGACAAACTCATAAGAAGGTGCCCGGCACCCATCTTCACCACCCACTCTAGGACCATTTGGTTTCGCAGACCTGGCAGAACGGGGACTTGACACACCTGTGTGCCGCTTGTAGTGCTTCAGCATGTTGACCTTCTGGGCGAACTTGCGGTGGCACTCTTTGCACTCGTACTCCTTGATACCCTTGTGCAGCTTCATGTGGTGGCGCAGAGCATGCTTCGTCTTCATGCCTAGAGGAGGCAGATCCACATGAGTGCCAGACTCACCAGAACTTGCCCAGGCATTTGTGTCCCATCCACTCCCCTGAAGCGCCCTTCTGAACCCAGTGGGTACAGACACAGAATGTCTTTGGGAGAGAGAGGCTAGGGCCTCACCTCAGAGGGTGAAGGGCCCACAAAATTAACACCTCAGGAGGCCACTAGAAATTTACTGTGACGTTCAGATGACGGTGTGTCAACAACAGCATCTGAGATGATGCAGTGAGATGGACAGGATGACTAGGGCTTCTTGTCTGTCTTGATGACGGTAACTAAGATGAGGACACCAGATCTATGCTTATTTTTTTTTAAAAAAAGCCACTCTTGCCGGGTGGGGATGGCACACACCTCCTAGCACTACGGAGGCAGAGGCAGGTGGATTTCTGTGAGTCTGAGGCTATCCTGGTCTAAAGAGCTAGTTCCAGGACAGCTAGAGTTGCATGAAGAAACCCTGTCTCGAAAAACAAAAATGAAAACAAAAAAAAAAACAAACAAAAAAAGCCATTCTTTAAAAAATATTGTGTGTGTGTGAAAGAGAGAGAGACAGAGACAGAGACAGAGACAGAGAGAGACAGGGAAAGTGAGTGCAGGAGCATGTACAATCAGAGGACAACTCCCCAGAGTCAGTTCCTGCCACACTGCAGGATGCAGGGATCATACTCAGGTCATTACAACCATGTGCAAACACCTCTACTTGCCACGCCACCTTGTCAGACCACAAGTTTTAACTTACTGCTGCCAATCTTAGGTACTGACTTAGGACTCAAGATGAGGGAAGTGGTGAAGCATCCCCACCAGCCAAGGCCCAGCTGGGTGGGTGGCAGCGGCAGCAGCATATACCCAGAGTGCTCACACACCAGTGCAGGCAGACTGCAGTCCTTGGGCCACCCTCCCACCCTCCCGCAGCCCCCAGTGGACAAACCAGCAGTGGTGCCATGTTGAGCGAGTTCAGTGGGCTCAGAGCTCTAACCTCAGCTGGACAACAGCTCCCCTGGTCCCACCTTGTCACTACCCATCTTCACCATCTCAGTGACAACCCAGCTGGGCCATAGGGCCCATCAAGTCAGACAGCAGAGGGCACACAAGTTCCACCTCGAGTCTCTCGGCTGTCAGTGACTGGCTGAGCAAAGTGCCAGGCCTTTCTGATTATGGAAGAACAATTTTACCTTAATTTCCCTCTCTTCCCAACCCTCCAATAAAAATGTTGTATACCCCCCACCATCCAGGGACAAAAGCCACAGGCAATAAGAGATCCAGTCAAAGCTTGGCCACCCAGCAGAGTATTCTTTAGGTAATTGGCCTGTTCTTGATCCCTCTTCTGGCTTATCACATCTAGGCTCTACTCAAAACAGTGTTACCCAGTACTGCTGTCTGCTCCTGCTTGTCTTTCTTGCAAAGGTTGTACAAACCTCACCCTTGCAGTTCCAACACCTATTCATCGTCTCTTTCGTTCACTCTCATAACTGCTATGCTTTGACTATTTAAGTGCCAGGCATTAGAGACGAGGTGGTATGCTAGACAGAGCCCTTGGCTTCATAGGACTTCTGTTCTAAGTGAGACTGGGGGAGTAAGAGAACCTACATAGTGTGTGGAAAGAGAACATAGTTAGGCAGAACCTGGCAGGAAGGGGCTTGGGGAGAGAGGTTGTATGTAAGGTCACCCTTGGTTACACACTGAGCAGGAGGCCAGCCTAGGCTACATGGACCCTGTCTCAAATAACAGAACTTGAAACGTCCAGCTTTTTTTTGTAGGCTATAGAGAAGTCTTAAAGGATAATTTTGTGTACATGATGTGATTTTGGCCCCCATTTGCCAAGACTCATGATTCCTAGCAGCCACCCACTGTCACGGGCACAGACTATGTCTAGGTTCAGGTCTACATTTTTGTGATCATAGGCAAGCTGGATGCCTGGCTTAACATGCTCGGATGGCCCAGGATGTCCCATGGCTCCAGAATACCCTGTGGCTACGAGAGACCCCCTGGGGCTCCAGACACACACTCACCTTTCCCACACTCGGCACACAGGTATTCTCGGATGTTGTCATGCACACGCATGTGCTCCTTCAGCATATCTTTCCTGGCAAAGGACTTTCCACACTGCTCACAAGCATGGCTTTTCACACCTGCAAACAAACACAGCAGTGCTTGAAAGCCCCAGCCAGCAAGGGTCTCAGCTAGAAGCACAGTGATACCGTGGGCTGCTTTTCCAGTATGTTCCATGGGAGTCTTTGGCATGAGAAGGCCCTGAGAACCTGAGCTGGACATAGGTATGGGAAGGGATGTGCGGTGGCAGGGGAGGCCTGGAGGGAAGGTGGAGAAGCAGGGATGCAGTGTGAGGAGTCAAGGCATGGCTGTCTGTACACGGAGCCAGGGAGAGGGATTCCTGCTGCTGGGTGGGTGGGGAGATGCAAGCAGGAGCATGCTACCTGTGTGGATAAGTTTGTGGCGCTCCAAGTTCCCAATGCTGTTGAAGATCCTCCCACAGATCTCACAGGGATGAATATACCTGAAAGTAGAGACAACTCTTCAGGAGCCCACTCTAGGGGTTTTACCATCTGAGGGGCTCATCCACGGAGAAGGCTTCATCTGCTGTGAGGGTCTGTTCAGCTGTGAAGGGCATGTGTGAGAGCTCCTTTATCAACGGAGGTGAGGCAAGAAGATGTTACGTATCTCAGCTTCTGTAATAGGTTGACTGTGTCTCTCAAACTGTTATTGGAGTCTTAGCCCAGAATGCAGCTGTCTATGAAGACAGGCATTTACAGAGCAGATCAAGGTAAAATGAGGTCATTGTGGTGACCCCAATCCTTAAGAAGATGAAAGAAGAGTTAAACATGTAGAGAAGACTGAGCCTTTGAGGGCACTGAAGATGCCATGGCTAGTCAAGGAGGATTTAGAAGGAGCCAACCCTGATCGATATGATATGGGATCCCAGGCTCTAGGACTATGAGGTATGAGGTATTTGGTCACAACAGCTCTGGAAGATGAATTCAGTCATCTAGTTGCTCACAACATAGCTCTGGTTATGGGCTGACCTTTGACATGGGCAGCATTAACAAAAACCTAGCTATAGCAGAAAGGTTGTGTTGGCTTGTCAAGTAGGCCAACATACTTTAGAATCCTGTAGAGAAAAAAATTAACAGTGAGAAATGCCTAGAGGCTAGGTGCCTCAAATATTGACTTGCTAAAAAAAAGCACTGTGGCTTTGCAGAGTCCTCCTCTTCCTCACAACCCCGGATTCTTACTTCTGCACATTGGGGTCAGGCAGATTCTCTCGGTGGATGACCATGTGGGCATGGTAGGTGGCCTTGAGCGCAAAGCGTCGGTGGCAGATGCTGCAGCCATGGCCTTTCTCCTTGTGGACCTCCATGATGTGCTTCAGGTATTCCTTCCCACGGCCGAAGGTGAGCTATAGACACACAGGGTGGAAGCTGATGACTCACTGCATCTCTGGGCATCTCTGTTACACTTCTATCACCAGACACCACGGGAGGACCAGTTACTCATGGGGGAGTGGTGACTTATAGGAGAGGCTGCTGGAAACGCAGGCCATAAGCTGCATGGAAAGCATGCACCCTGCCTTGTGTAGTATGGGCCAGCTTCAGGCTGGCTGGGGCCAAGCATCCCAGTCTTAGGCCAGTTTCCAGGACATAGGCCCCACCACCATCAGCTGTCCTGCTTATGTGCACACCAAGTCATGAGTGGGTTCTGATGGGTGAGTCCCACGGTTACCATCCCTAAGCCCAAGTGATACAGGACAAGCTTCCTTAGTGAAGGAGATTGACAACACAGCGCTGTGGGCTCCCCTCAGCCCCATGGTCACTAATTCCGCCCTCGGCCATGCTTACGGGCAGTGCTGAGTACCTGGCACCTCTTGCAGCTGTACTTGTGCGGCTCGGAGTCTGCACTCTCATCAGAGTTGTCATCGTTCTCCTCTGAGGAGATCCCAATCTTGCCAATGAACTCCTCCCGTTGGTGGTCGTCCATCAGTGCGATGTCCTGCAGGACGGTCACAAACCCCACCTTTACTGCAGTATATTGGGGAATCATTTGTCTGCCTAGCGAGCTATACCTATGTCCCTTTGGATGGCACTGGGTTTGGCTATTCTGTGGTATAAGCAATCCCACCGATGCTCAGGCAGAGTCCTGGAGGACATGCCGCTGCTGCAGCACTGTTCTGGGCCTCTGACTCAGACAGGCGCTTCTCCTACCTGCCCTCATACCCAGTTTTCTCTTCTTTCCCTAAAGGCAGGGAGACAGCAGAATGCCACCCTCAACCCCACACAGGGAGATTCTCTGTTTGGGCCCTGCAGCAGGCGTGTCAGTGGGAGTCTGCATGAAAAGCTGGCCAGTGACCATGCTGACAGCAATCTGAATACCAGTGCCCATGTGTTAGAACTTCACCTAAGACGACAGCGTGAGGAAGGAGCGCCTCTGGGGAATGACAAGGTCCGATAGTGCGGTGCCATGAGTAGGATTACAGTCTTTAAAGGACAGACCCCAGAAACTTCCTCATCTTTCCCCCATGTGAGCACACAGCAAAAAGATGTATGAATGAGGAAGCCCTCAACAGACTTGGAACCTTCTAGTACCAGAACTGTGAAATCTAGTCTACTGTTGGTGAGTGCCTCATCTACACAGACACTGGGTGGGCCAGGTCACTAAGTGTCACCCACGTGGGGCCTGCACCTTGAAGTGGACGTGGATGTGGTCCCTGAGTACGTCCACTCGGAAGAACTTGCGCCCGCAGATCTCGCAGGTGTACTTCTTGTCACCATGGGTCAGCAGGTGTTTGTTCATGTTGCTCCGGCAAGAGAACACCTGGGGACAGGGAGCCAGTGCAGTGAGGGCTAGGGCATACAGGGAGCCAAATCCTGTGGCCTACAGGACAAGCTACCACCAAGCCTAAATATCTAGCACTTGTTCTTCTAGACTTATGGTGCTTGCCTTCCTCCTCCCTTCCTTGGTGTGGATATCTCCCTATATGCTGTGAATATGTTTTATTATCCTTAGTTAATTAAGAAGCACTTTGGCCTGTGGCACGGCAGAAAAACTAAACTGAATGCTGGGAGAAGGAAGGCAGAATCAGGGAGACACCATGTAGCTGCCAATGAAGACAGATGACGGGAACCTCATCAATAAACCATGAGCCTCGTGGTAAAACATAAAAATAATAGGAATGCATTAATTTAATATGTAAGAGTTAGGTAATAAGAAGCCTAAGCTAATAGGCCAAGCAGTGTTTTAATTAATATAGTTTCTATGTGATTATTTTAGGTTTAGGCAGCCAGGAACAAACGAGAGGTCTCTGCCTACAACCATTGGTTAATAAAGAAGCTGATTTGGCCAATAGCCAGGCAGGAAATCCAAGCAGAGATTCAGGAAGAAAAAGGGCAGTCTGGGAGATGCCAGGTGTTGCCATATAGCCACCCAAGAAGCAAGATGTGAGGTAACAAACCAAAAGCCTCGTGGTAAGAGTTAGCTAGGAATATGCCTGAGCCGTTGGCCAAACAGTGTTGTAATTTTGAATGATTATTTGGGTCTTGTAGTGGCATTTCAACTGTATTTTAATAAATAAAGACTGCCTTAAGATCTGAGAGTAAAACAGTCCCACTCGTTAGCCTTACAGACCAGATTATGGTAACACACACCTTTAATCTCAATAGCCATAATGACACACACCTTTGATCTCACTAGCTCTAATGTCACACACCTTTAATCCCAGTAGCCAGCCAGATTAGCTGCCATAGAAACTAAGCAGGGCATGCCTTTAATCCCAGCCCTAGACAGAATTATAAAATGGGAAGAAACAACTCTCAGACTCACAGTCTCATTTTCAGATTCCTGGAGGCAGATTGCCATTTCAGACTGAGGTTGAGGTAAGAGCCAGTGGGGCTGTTTTGCTTTTCAAATCTTCAGGTTGAACCCCAATTTCTGACCCTGAGTTTTTATTAATCGTGCTTCAGGGTCTGGATGGCCGGAAAGCAAAAGTGCAGTCTCCACTTTCCCTCGTTCTGTCCCTCCCTCCCTCCCTCCCTCCCTCCCTCCCTCCCTCCCTCCCTCCCTCCCTCCCTTTCTTCTCTCTCTCTCTCTCTCCCTCCCTCCCTCCCTCCCTCCCTCCCTCCCTCCCTCCCTCTCTCTTTCCTTCCTTCTCTTTCTTCTTTAATTTTTTTTCTTTTTTGGTTTTTCAAAACAGGGTTTCTCTGTAGCTTTGGAGCCTGTCCTCGAACTAGTTCCTGTAAACCAGGCTGGCTCAAACTCACAGAAATCCAGCTGACTCTGCCTCCCATGTGCTGGGACTAAAGGCTAAGCCACCACTGCCCAGCCTCCTTCTTTAATTTTTGAGACAGGGTTTCTCTTTGTAACTGCAGTGGCTGTTCTGGATCTTGATCTGTAGACCAGGATGGCCTCAAACTCATAAAGATCCACCTGCCTCTGCCTTCCAAGTACTGGGATTAAAGGTGTGCACCACCACCACCTGGCTAAACTTATGGTGATTTAGACACCCACTCACACCACAACACAGGACACTATTTCCAGTCTCTGTTGCAATGAGAGTACAGCAGAGTCCTTACGCTGAGTTAAACAGCTCACTGGCACAGAGCCTACTGGGAAACCATGCAGATATACCTGCAGTTTTTCTCAAAGTAAATACCAAAGAAGACACCCAATCCAGTCTGAGCACCGTTTCATGCTGCTTTCTATTTCCAGCCTGGAGGGATGGATGTAGATTCACTCAAGCATCCACACTAGTCTTCCAAGAACCACTTAACAGTTAGCCCTGAGCTGGGGCTAGGAACATAGGGTCTACAAGGCAGATAAGCAACAATCACCAGTGTCCCAGAAGCCCCACTGATCATGGAGCATCCAAAGGCAGGACTTTCTGCAGATGAGGTGCCCTGGGACTACTTGTCTATTCCCATGGGTTGCACACCTCCCTGTCCCTGCACCATCTTGCCTCCAAACCTACAGTTTAAGGTCAATGGCCGCACATGGCTTCACTGATCCACAGGCTTTGGCTGGCTCTGTGGGTTCAAAGAAACCAGGAAATATCATGAAAGCAGAGATTTTCATTTCCTCTTGAAGGCATCTTTGGATCTGGCAGTGTTGCCACACGCTCAGTCAGGAGTGGCCAGCCATGTGGAGCTGGGTTCCCAGTGTGGTGGTGCCCAGGAGCCAGTGCTACGCTATGCCAGTAGCTCCCTGTGTAGCTGTGCCAGGCTCACCAGCAGCCCCTCCTCTAAGCAACACCAGAGGCTGCTTAGGTCACATGCACAGGAGCCTCTCAAGAACCTGTATCCCCAGAATGTGCTCTATGCAGTAAGGGATACAGTTTGTACCTCCTGTTACCTGAGTTGTCAGAGTTGAGTCTGATGAACCAGCGATGGCGTTTCCAGTTAGGAGCAGGTGTTCACGTGTAAAGAACGGGGCAATGTGCATATGGCAGCCAGGACAGGGCTGGGAGTCTTAGATGCCTACACTAGAGACATGGCCAAGGCCAGGGTACATCATGTCCAGGCACCTGCACACAGCACAGGCTGCCCGGGCAGGAATACTTAGCATCTACAAACTAACCTCGGCCATCATGGGATGGGCTACCCCTAACTTAGAAAATACTACCTGTACACTGAGCAGGGGTGGCCAGAAGGGACAGCATAAAGTTCCCAGGGCATCCTGCCTCTTCAATATGGATATGAAGACAAGGTCCAGACACTCAAGAGAAAGCATGTCCCACAGAGTGGAAGGGCCAAAAAACAAAAACAAAAAACTCTCCACAGATTTATTGGAAACCCATGCCAGAGAGCAAAACTCCAAATGTGCACCCTGAGGGACACTTGGTTAAAGACAGATGGTACATAACCTGTCTTATGTACCTTAACACTGTTGCCCTAGCAGGTGTATCTAACCTTCTGACACAGAAACATGGTTATTGTCTACAAAGTTCACACTTAAGAACTGTATAGAAGAAATGAAAGCCAAAAAAACAAATCTTTTTGTGTTGGCTAGTTTTCTGGTCAATTTGACATAAGTGAGAGCCAACTCTGAGGAGGGACAGCTGAGAAATACCTCCATCAGACTGACTCGTAAGCAAGGCTGTGGGGCATTTTCTTCATAATTACTGATGGTTGGTGGTTTTGGGTGCTACAAGAAAGCAAGCTGGGCAAGACATGGAGGGCAAGCCAATAAGCAACACTCATTCATGGCCTCTGCCTCAGTTCCTGCCTCCAGTTCTTGACTGAGTTCCTGCCCTGATCTCCCTTCATGATGGACTCTAAGCAGCTCTCTCCCCTTCAACTGCTTTTGGTCACAGTTTACCACAGCAACAGAAACCTAACTAGGACATGTGTTATGCCTTAAATGTATAATTTTGTACTGGGCTACATTTATAGCTATCTGGGAGTGCAAGGGGACTGTGGGCTGTAGGCTGGATATGCCTACAAGTTCCCTGTCTGTAGCTCTGAGCTCGAGCTTAGAGAGTGGGTATCTGCCATGCAACACCAACAGTAACTGTGGAACATTACCTTGCCACACACTGGGCATCCAGAAGGCTCTTTTTTATAACGAACCAGGTTTTCCCCGCTGGCTTCCAGGTCTTCTCTCTTCACACGCCGCACACCTGAAATCCCAGATCAAACAGGAAGTGTGAGGTCACATGGTACGGATCAGATCCTAGAACTGCTTGGGAATTATGCTGAAAGTATTGTGGTACCAGATATGCAGGAGGCTGGTGGATTGTTTGAGCTCATTGCAAATGAGCAAGGCTCATTTGGCCAGGTGGTGGTGATCTAATCCTGAGCCTGGCCTACAAAGTGAGTTTCAGGATAGTCAGAGCTATTACACAGAGAAACCCTATCTTGAAAAACCAAAAACCAAAGTCAAAAAAAACTCCCCCAAACAACAAACAAACAAATAAATAAACAACAAGTGTGAAAGGTACACCTAGTCCAGGTAGGTGCATCACAGAAAGCAGTGACTTTTAAGCAGAGCCGTGAGCATCCTTGGTTCTGAGCAACTGCTCTGTGTTGGGCCTGAAGGAACCTCATGGCAAGTTCAGGTCCAACTATGACACTGACTTCAAAAGAAACAATTATCACCACCACTATACAAGCAGGAGAACCAAGGTGTAGTGATTTGTCCATGGTTCTCAGAGGCTAGGTGGGGCCCAGAGTACCCACCTAAGAATCTCATGGGACCATGTTGTGGGTCTTTACGAACCAAAGGGCAGGGGGAAGCAAAGTGCAGGAACTTAGAAGAGATGTGACGGGTCTTGTTTCCACAAACTCATGTGCATGTATCTAGCAGTAAAGCTTTCCACACAGCCTGAATTTGTTCTGTAAATGGTGTTTTCAAACACTACCAAAGAGTGTTTGCATCCGTGAGTGCTACTGACTCTTAGTGGGGAAAACAAGGACAGCCTCAGTCAGAATGCTGATTTTAACCCCTGTTCCACTTCTCATTCTGCCCTGGCTGCTGCCTCACCTGTGTGGAGAGAGCTGACCTCACAGACTGTGTAGACGGATGGCCCCCACCCACAGTACATACCAGCACACTCCACTGTTTACATGACTGAGCCTGCGGCATACATGACAACACATTGCCTTTCTTACACTCCATCACACTAAAATCATTCTTCACAGGATTCAAAAGTCCTCTAAAGAAACACTTCAAATAACTTCCTAACAGTCGGCACTCAAGAGCAGTCTAGCTGTGCTTTTTTGTTCCCCACTGTTCCTACTACTTCCTGCTGCTCGTGGCACTGTTAACAGCACCCCAGAACCCCCGGGATTGGGAAGAACATCACCAGGTCAGAAGGAAGGCATCTCAGGCTCACCATCCAGGTGTCGCCTCTGGTGGTCCAGCATGACATCCTTGCGGTAGAACATCTTACTGCAGACCTCACAGGCAAACTTCTTGTCCCCGTGTTTCTTCTTGTGCTTGGAGAGGTTGCTGTTGGTGGAGAAGAATCTGAAACACATCTCACATTGGAACGTCTTGTCATCTGTCCAGAGAGTAAACAAATACACAATGTGTGGTAAATCACCCCTGACCAGCCTCCAGCATGTGTGCCTCAGCAGAGTCAAAAGTGGAGTCAAGGCAGGAGACCAGCAGGGCACCGTGGCCCAGAGCTCATCCGCTGTGTGCTCTGCTAGACATATGTGTACACTGGTGTGCCAGTTCCTCACTGGCTCTACAAGCTTCCTCCTGGTGTCCTCAGCATGCTCACCTGCTCCTCCAGCACAGTGTCACTGCTGCCCCCTCTTCTCTGCCCAGTTACCTCCGAGAGCATCCTCTACAGCAACACTCCCAGCTTCACTATTCCAGAAGAACTGTCTTGGGCCTAGGCCTCACTCAACAACACAAGCATATGCTCGCCATTCATTCAACACATACCCCACAAATATACATGCATATGTATGCATACACATGTACACACACTGCATTCACACCCATTTCCACCCTATTCAACACACACACACACACACACACACACACACACGCTCACATTGCAAGAAGTCAGCATCCCTGCATCCCAGCCCCCACTTCAAGTACCTCTGGAAGGTACCAGGCAAGCTGCAGTTCTTGCCTCTGAAAGTTTACTCTACCATCTGCCCCGTCCCCTCTGCGTGGTGTCTGCAGCCCCTGCTCCACACCACCGGGTACCTTGCCTTTTAAAAGCACCTGCTCTTTCCTGAATCATGAATGTAGACGTGTATGATAGCAGATGACAAATGTGTCATTACTTCTCTCAGGAGCAGAATGCCTCTAGACCCAGCAAATATTTTCCTATAAAGCCCTTAGTCTACATAGCCACTGCCCACCACACATCCACCTGTCTGTGGAAAGAAGTCCCTACAGATACCTTGGGACCTCACTTATCAAGCATTTGTTGTTGACATCTGAGCAAGTCACTCTGCTTAGGAGCTGCCTAGACCCAGGGGGGTTATATCCCAGGACTCCATATATTCTCCTAGAGTCTACCCTTGACCTCCAGTCAGTTGTGATAACCAAGATGTGGCCGAGAGAAGCCAATGCCCCTTGAAGCTGAGGTCCACTGGTAGGATTACTGAAGTGAATCTCTACAGCTGCAGCAAGTCTCTAGCCCCACTCAGGATATTCCATGTGTAGCTAGCTAGAGGTCACCCCACCTAAATCTGAAGAAAATCAGCCGTCTTTATCTCTTCCTACCAGGGTAAGAAAGACATAGGCAGGGCTATGTGCTGGCCTCTGAGCAGGGAGAGGTGAGAGAAGGGATCAAGGCCTTAGTGGGGACAGGGCAGCACAGCCCAGGACGCAGTGGCCTACCTATAGCTTTCTCCACAGCACACTGGTTCTCTTGTAAAGACATGGACCAGAAGTCCCATGTAAGTCTCAGGAGACCTGGACCTGCTTCTGGCAATCCTACTATACAGCTCAATTTCCCAAGGTGAAATGTTATTCCTAAGATCCAACCCTCTTTCTCATTTGTTTGGCTGAATTACAGAGTAGTTAGGTCTGCAGCACAGGTGAGATGAGCCTCCCTTCCGGGAAGGTGCTCACAGTACAATTGAGTCTCTGAACATCACAGGTGAGTCTTCTTTCTTATAGATTCTGAACAACACTTATCACCATGGAAAGCAGCGCTGCTGGCTTGGGCTCTCATGTCCTCCCTATAAGCCCCTCCACACCCTGCTTCCAATCATTTTCTGTGCTGATCTACACAGTCAGCTAAGATGATCCATCACATATACCTCAATAACATTCTGAGGTGCAAGAACCCAGACATCTAGTCTCCGAATGACTTCCCCTCTTCCCCCCAGTAATCCAGTCACTATGGAGGTATGTAGTGACACCAAAGGCCTGAAGGTAGTGCTTCGGAATCTGGTAAAGGACGAGGGACTAATGTTGCGGAATACTTGACCACACTGTGAACCCTGAGATTGCATTATTTACTGGAAAAACCTGTTTCTAGTTGTGGTGTTGCTCAGCCCTAGCACAGACCTTTAGTCCAAGAGCTTAAAGTTAATTAAAGGTCAAGTGGTGGAGCAACCAGCTGTCAGGAAGTCAACATAAGATTATTAAGAAAAAAAACAAAACAAAACAGAGATTAAGAGGGAATCGGGAGGACAGATAGAGACCCATAGGAAGTAAAAGGGAGGGACATTCAGTTTAAGAAGGTTGGTTGGAGATGGAGTAGAAACAGAGCTTCTGGGATGTCAGTGAAGAGGGTCAGGTGGGTGCTTTCTCTGTCTCTCTGAGCTAGCAAGTTTTCACCCCAGGAAAACTTGTCTCACGAGTCTTTACTGGAAAATCGAACAATTGCGATTTTGTTAAAGAAAACAATGGGCTCATGTACTGAGAGGACAGGAGTAGACTGTGAGGGAGCCAAGCTGCTGGGATCCTCTTTAGGTTCAATGGTAGCACAGCAAACGTGTGAACGAGAGTGATACCAATGCACTGGAGGCACAGAAACAGGCTTGACAGAGTGGGCTGGAGAAATGTCTGCCCACTGCACACTTGGAGCACCCAGCCCTGACTGTATAAATCCTTCGAGGATGAATGTTCTACTAACTTCATACCACAAAAGGCATGAGCAAATGTAAATAGGCCTCCATGGGGTCTCTCAGCCCTGAAATCAGGCTCAGGAGAGAAGCTGCTTGCGGTTCATCAGTGCCACGACCACCTAGCAGAGACAAGTGTCTGATGTGACAGTTCTAACCAACAGCAAGTGCTTCTTCATTTTCTGTTCTACTCGTTTAGAAAAAAGAATCATTAACTTAGATGTAACAAGTGCTTTTTGGTTTCTAATGCAACCTAATATCAAGCTGGTCTAACTCTCAGCCCACTCTGCATCTCCTTGAGGAACAACAGGAAGGTGGCGCTAATCCCAGTTAACGAAGAGTATGCCCGAGGCTGCACCCAGTGGAAACAGCTAGGAGTCTGCCCAGATTCTCACAGGCAGACTACCGATGCTGCTTAGGAACTGGCTAGGTGGTACATGTCACTGACAAGTGTCCTCCAGAAACCTGCCTGGCCTGCCCTTCACAACAGCCTTGTCATAGTAAGCAAGGCATCACGCTGAAGACAGAAGAAACCAGCCAGACATGGAACCAATTTTGATTAGAGACTCTGATATCCACAAGTGATCAAAAGCATGAACAGACACACGACCGCAGGAGTGGAGAGTGTCACAGGCTGACTCTGTAGGTCTCTACTGCTTGATTTATTAAGTCCTGGTAAGAGGGAGAACACGAAGGCACTGGTGATCTTCCCTCTACCCTCCTCTGGTGATTTGGCTGCATGGGAACTAGTGGACCTAGGACCCCTTCTCTGGAGCACAGGGCATCCAGGCCTCAGGGAGCTTCCACCCCTTGGCTGACTTGCTGCTTGCTCACTTACACTTGCCAACTATAAACTGCACAAGAGACAGTGTCTGAGAGCACCCTGGGCTCTACAACTACAGCTGTCTCGCCAACAGGGACAGCTCAAAACACAGCAGCTTCTGGCCTCGTACAAAGATGGTTTCCACTTTGCTTTTGGAGAGTGGCAGATGGAAGCAGGCTCAGGCTGTAATAACCTGGGCCAGGTGCTAACAATCCCTGTCTGGGTGCCCACAGGGGACACACTTGCAGGATGCTGATGTGGAAGGAAAGGTTTTCCCATCTTAAGCCATGCTGCTGCATTTTTCTCTCACACGCTTCTAGAACAAACCCAACATTGCTGCTCACCCTGTCAGCAAGGATGAAGGTCCCACATCAAGGTGACCTCAGGCAGGGTCTGAGAATGCATAACGGACAGGAGACAACCCATCCCTTCCTGACTAACGAAAACTTGCTTAAGTCTTCTCTAACAGCTGAACAATTTTATTCTTCACAGTCCTGGAGGCAAGAGGATCAGGGAGATGCCAGCCAAGGCAGCTGTCTGCTCAATGGGACCCTTCCACCCAACATGCAGGGCAGGTGGCTGGGGGTGGGGCCTCACCTGTCCTACAGTTGTGGAACTCCAAGGCACTCTCCATGCGGAAGGTCTTCCCACAGCTGCCACAGCGATAGCGGTACTCACCATCCACCTGCTCAAAGGGGCACACTGTCAGCAAGGAAGACTGCGTGAGTTCATCATAGGTTCCCCCCTTGTGTGTGCTGTTCTAGTAACTTCTAGAGGTAGCTGCACCACAGTTTTCCTCCCCTGTTCTAGTAGGACAATTCTTGCTGTCCAACTGCCTAAGAAAGTGAACCCCACACTCAGGTAAGTGCACCCCAAATGCCAGTCACCTATGTTCTCCCAACTGCTTCTGTAAGCATTGGCCTAAGCTGGGCTCAGAATGCATTGGGGGGCACGACAGGACGTCCTCCATGGCGCCTCCTCTAGGAAGCAGCCAGCTGTCTAGGTGCCCACTTACCTCATTCCGGCTGTGCTTGTAGGAGACATGTTGCTTTAGACTTTCCTTACGGCTGAACAGCTTCGAACATTCCTCACATTTAAACAGCTTGTCACCTAAGGAATCAGCCAGCAGAAGGCAGATTCACTGCTTTGGCCTCTCAGAAAGCTGCACCCATCTTTGAAACATAAGTCCTCTGCCTGGGCTGGGAGCCCCCAATGCTGAAGAGCACCAGCAGCCACAGGGCTACCCCTTGCGGCAGCTCTGCAGCAAGGACCCAGCAGTGGCCACGCTCTCTCCTGGCCCTGCCCCATGGGCTGGGCAGGCACTCACCGTGCACGCACTCACCGTGCGAGCGCACGTGCCGGCTCAGGTTGCTGCTGTTCTGGAAGACCTTGCTGCAGGTGCCACACTGATGGATTCGTTTATGCTCACCCAGCTGCCGTACGAGCTTCCGCCTGACGCCGTGTCTGCTGGACAGAACCAAGCCCCTCTTGAGGGCAATGGCGCTGCTTGGATGATGTGTGAACCTGTCCAGGAGACAGACAGAGGGTCAAGGAGAGTGGTGGCTGAGGTCTCAGAGTGAAAGTTTCTGATCACAGTCACCTGGGAAGTTCCTTGGTCATTTCCCAGCTACACTTGGTCCATGAGGAAAAGGAGAAGGAAGGCAGAACCTGACGTCACCCGCTCCCGGGTAGCACAGACACTCTGAGCACATGAAGCATCAGTGCCATCTAACAGCTGTGCAGGTCATCTGCCTCAGCCAGGAAGCCTGAGCTCCATTTGTCCCGAACAAGGCAGCCCTGACTGTGGCTCTCGCCCTCACTTGGTCTTAACTCTACTCTGTTTTACGCTGACTCTGAACCTGATTTCTAACCATTTCTTCGTCCCACAGAAAAAAAGTGTGCTTTTTCTGTTAAGTGCTTGAAATCCTCTGGGCAGTAACACAGAAAAGAAATAATAAACATGTCCACATTTTCACAGGTTCATCAGGTGAATTCTGCCAACTCCAAAGGGCATAGAAAACAGCTGAGTCAACTTCAGGGTAAAAACTCACCAGGGAATCCTAACTGCGGCATAAACATTTCTTTCCCTTGCTCACAAAAAAGAAAGTAGAGCAAGGTGTGAAACTGACTAAAATTCAAACACAAGCCACTGCTGAACCATAGGAGCACCGCTCACACTGCTGGGGCAAAGCCGCCAGGAGCTCCCATGGGGGAGCAGACAAAGCAGGTGCGTGCATCAGTGTAGCATCAGTCAGCCTGACAGAGGAGATCTGGATACGCACTGACACAGAGGGGCATGTGCTGAATAAAATCTGCCATTCACAGAAGGCAAGCACTGTGTGCCCTACTGACATGGGGGGCACAGACTAGGAATGAATGCAGGCAGAATGGTGGGCACTGGGGGCAGTTCCAGTTTGGGTAGATAAAGGCTTGGGGGATGTCTCTGTACCATGCCCTTAAAAAGAGTTGTGACGGCAAATTCTCTGTCATGTGTGTTTTAAGACAAAAGCTTTCACAGTGAATGAACTATGAAACCCTTGGGCTCCAGAACACACACTGCTGGCCTGAAAAGATGAAGCGCAGCATCTGTGGGGATTAGAGGTGGGAGGCGCTCTCCCTGCAGTACCAATTAGTTGTTCCCTGTGCTCCGTCCCCAAGCACCAGCCACACACAAGCAGGACTTACTTTGGCACTGAGCTGACTTCATTTGTGGGGGTGGCCAGCTTCCCCAAGACTAACTCCATTATCCGTTCGTCTGGCGTTGCACTCTCAGGTTCATCTGGGGGTATTTCGGTAATGATCTCTGCCACGTGCTCTGTGAAGGGTATGACAAAAGGGTCACCACCAGCACAGGGACAGATTGTGACAAATCAGGAGAAGCACTGCCCCCGCCGCACATCCTGAGTGTGGGTGCAACAGGGATAAAAGCAGACATTTCAGAATTTAAGTGTTTATCTATGTACAAAGAAAGTATGTTTTTAATGGAAGCCAAAGTTACAGGCCACACCTGCAAAGCCCAAGCGTCTCCTGACCCTGCCCGGGACACTACCGACATACAGCAGATGGGTATGCAGCCAGACCATGAAGCTTACTAAATAAGCTCTGGCAGAGATTTACAAGTCATCTTGAGTGTTGCGGGAGGTCCTTCCGCTCCTCCAACCAATAGCTGCTGAGATACCAGCCCATTGGGGTGTGGTCTCTCTCCCTTTAAAAAAGCGGCTACTTCCCTCCCCGCACTCTCTCTCTTCATTTCCTGCTCCACCAGCGACTAGACTCCCTGATTGTGCAGAGGGCTGTTGTCTGGGACGGTGATCTGTAAGTTTTTTCCTCTTTAAATAAATACCACCCTATTAATCATAATTCCAAACTGGTGTGGCATTGTTTGTGACTTATGCCTTGACTTGAGGATATTCAAAGGTGAGTAAACATTCCATTCAGGGCCATGCCGGAAATGGGATAAAAATTCGCAAACAGGAAGATCATACAGAAGAAAATTTCAGCCATTCTGAGTTTTGTTGTTGTTGTTTGAAATAGACTCTCATGTAACCAGGCCTGCCCTTGAACTTACTATGTAAGATATTTAATCCTTCTCCCTCCCAAGAGCTATAATTCTAGCCATGATCCTGTGGGCTGTGTTTTCCTGGTATCCTTGACCCCTCTGGCTCCTATAGTTCTTCCTCCTCCTCTTCTTCGGGGTTCCCCTAGTACCAAGGGGAGGGACCCAATGGAGTTCTCCAATCCGGGCTCTCTCTCCACCCACTATAATGTTTAGCTTGCGGGTCTCTGCATCTGCTCCCATCAGTTGCTGGCAGGAGCCTCTCTGTGATAACTGGAGCCACTGGTTTCTATTGTTTCACCTACTACCATCAATTGTGATAGCCAGGAAGTAGTTCCTCCTGTCCCTTTCTGTCTGTAGATGCAGGGAAGTCCCAGAAGGAGCTCAAACCACTCCTGCTCATGTGCAAGTATTTCCCACAAGGCTTAGAGAACAGGCACTGGCCAGAGACTAGGAAACAGGAACAGTGGAGAATGTTCCACGGAAACTGCTCTTCTATGCCCTTTCATTTCAAGCTTGCTTTTCATTTCCACAATGACAAGAGCATCCAGTGCCAGTAACGCAGGCAGGAGGGGGAGACATCTGAGCACTACACCTTATCCTGAATGTGAGGTGGACCTAGCAGCAGAGAAGCGGGCAGCTGGGACAGGGAGCTACATGAGGACCACAGAGACAATGGTTTTCCAGAGACATGTTCATGCTACGGAGTGGATCCCAAGGGTTCTGCACAATCAAAGAACAAGTTCAGGCTCATAAAATGGTTCAAAGTGGCAGCTAGCTAGTTTCATGTCAACTTGACACAAGCTAGCGTAGTCTGAAAGGAGGGAACACTCATTTGAGAAAATGCCTCCATAAGATCCTGTTGTAGAGTACTTTCTTAAGTCATGACTGATGAGGGAGGGCCCAGCACACTGTAGGTGGTGCTATTCCTGGGCTGGTGGACCTTGGAACGTTGGGCTAGAAAAGTCATTGAGTGTTCAAAGATTGGTGAGCTTTTCTGTGGGAACTTGGAAGAATGTTGAGAGAGAAGCAGAGGATGGACGACTGGCTTGAGAGTTCCTGGAGGAAGTTTGAAAGTTCCTTAAAAATGTATCAGGGAGAGATTATTGGTGAAAGTGTGGCCCAGTTGCAGCAAGAGACCCAGCAAACTGGAGATGCAAGAACAACAGCCATAGAGTGAAACCTGCAGGAAGCAGGAAGACAGGCTATGTGTGCTGCAGAGGATAGAGCCAGAGAAATTACTCAAGCCCTTTGGAGGAGACCAAAAGACTGTGAGTGAACCCCAGATATTGGACATTGAACTATTCATACTGTTGGAGTTTAGTTTTGCTTTGCTCATATTATGATTGTGCCCTGGCTCTTCCCTTTCAAAGTAAGGAAGTATTTAACTTAATTTTAATTTTATAGGATCCCACAGTTCAGAGAATTTTTAAAGGGATTTTGGAGTTTTACAGACACTTTGGATTTTAAAAGAGACTGAATTTTTAGTGGTAAAGATAACTACAAGCCAGAACCCTGAGTTCCATCCCTGGAGCCCTTACAGAGGTGAAAGAGAACTACAAAATTATCCTCTGGCTTTTGTATATGACACACACACACACACAAAACAGAAATAGCCAGGGCCATGACCAGCAACATGTCCACCCATACATACACGGCAACAAATACTGGGAACTCACATGAAGGACTAAGTCTTGCTGGACAAACAGAAGAGCTGGCAAGACAAGCATGGCATGGACAAGGCGTACCCCTGAGACAGTGAAGCACACAGACACAAGCCATGTGTGGTAGCACAGGCATGCCATCCCAGCTCAAGAGGCTAAGTGGGCAGGATCAAGAGTTCAAAGTCAGCCTGGGTTACATACTGAGCTTGAAGTCAGCCTTAGCAAGACTGTTAGGAAACAAAGCTTTCCCCCTCCCCCCCAAAAATAACAAAAGAAAGAAAAACAAAACAAAACAAACAAAAACAGACTGATACGGCAAAGCCTAGTCAGATGTCTATTTTTAAAATCTGTGTTCTGAACACTCTAGTGTGGAATATTCTGCAAGATAATCACACTCTTAACAGCTGGCTGAGGGACTGTGGAGGAGACAAGACCTTACCTCATGAGCCCTCCCTGCCAACATGGCCACCCAGAAAACTAAGAGATGATGAGGTACATACCTCCCACCCTGGCACACAGCTCATCAGCTTCTCACCTGTAGGCTCCTTGTCTTTGATAATGATCAGAGGCTGCTCAACCTTGGATGCTTTTGATTTCCTCCCTCTTCGAGGCCTTTTCTTTGGCTCGTTGATGGCCACGACACTCTGGATGCTCTTGCTCTCAGCTGCGGTGGGAGGCTCCCTTCTGGGTGTATCAGGCTCCTTCTCAGAAGCTGCCTCATGCTGCTGGCCTCCTGCAGGAAGGCTTTTGGTTTGCTCCAGGTGGCTCAGGAGATGCTCTGCAAGAGGAGAAGGGCTGTTGATGACAGAGTAGGAGTCATGCACCTGCTTGCTCACCACCTTCCCCAGTGTTGGTTTTCTTTGTTGTATTTGCTGAGTGCGGCCTCTGCACAGGTAAAAAACTTTATCTTCACTGTTTTAAAAGAGAAATGGCTCTACCACATGCATAGAGCCTTAGAAGGAGTTTTTCTCATCTGACAAGGTTTCTCTGTGTATCTCCAGATATCCTGGAACTCACCCTGTAGACCAGGCTGGCCTTGAACTCACAGAGATTCGCCTGCCTCTGCCTCCTGGGATTACAGTTGTTTGCCACCATTGCCTGGCCAGATTTTGAACTTTCAAATTGGGCTATCAGCTTTTTTTTTTAAAAAAAATATTTATTTATTATGCATACAATATTCTGCCTGTGTGTATATCTTCAGGCCAGAAGAGGGCACCAGACCTCATTACAGATGGTTGTGAGCCACCATGTGGTTGCCAGGAATTGAACTCAGGACCTTTGGAAGAGCAGGCAATGCTCCTAACCACTAAGCCATCTCTCCAGCCCCCTGAGCTGTCAGCTTAAACCGTGTTGGCTGACCGTCCTCTGATGTGGGAGTGTCATATATCAATCTGTTGATTTCATTGGTTAAGTTATAATAAACCAGCTGCTTGGCCTCATGGCTTGGAACATAGATGGGAGAAGTAAACAGAATAGAATTCTGGGCGGAAGAGGAAGTGAGGTCAGACTCTGCTCTGCTTCCGAAGAGACCCGACAGCTCTGCTGGAGCAGAGACGCCATGCTCAACTCTCCCAGGATGGACTTAGGCTAGAATCTTCCCGGTAAGCGCACCTTGGGGTGCTTACACACATCATTAGAAATGGGATAGTCCAGGTGCGAGAATTAGCCTGTAAGGGCTAGAGTTCATGGGCCAAGCAGTTCTTAAATGAATACAGTTTGTGTGTTGTTATTTCGGGCATGAGCTAGCCAAGCGGCTGGGGTGTTGGGGACGCAGCCCCGCCGCTTCTTATTTCAACAGTCCTCAACTTCTGATCCTTCTGCTTCCACCTTCAAGTGTTAAAACTAAGCAAAGCCACCATGCCCAGTTTTACGCAGTGCTACAGCTCAAACCCAGGGCATCCTGCATACCAACCTTCCTCTTGCCACCTGGGCCACATCCCCCATCCTGGAACTCTGCTTAGAAGTAAATGAGACACAGGCAGGATATGGTGTTACTATGAGGCAGTGCATGGGGCAATGTCCACACGCTGGTGCAGTGCTTGATAGTGTGTATTTTCTAACTTTCCCACAGGATGTGACACACTAAGACAGAAGCACCTCCAGAGCACTCACGGTAAACTGACTTCTTTCCTTTAGACAGGGTTTCTCTGTGTAGCCCTGGCTGTCTTAGAACTCTCTCTGTAGACCAGACTGGTCTTGATCCACCTGCTTCTGCCTCCCAAGTATTGTGATTAAAGGTGTACACCACCACTGCACAGCTAAATATTTCTTTATAAACCCTACAATAAAGCAAAAATGCTTTGCTTATTTATAGGTAACAGAAAGTCTCCAAGACCACCCAGGAAAAAGTAATGGAGACAGATGTTGGGGGAACAGACAGGCAGGTACCACATGGAATGGCAAGTTTGGGAGATAGTGGACAAATATGGCTAGGTCACAGGTACCAGGTGACAGGAAGAGGAAGTGGCAGGGAAAGCAGGTAACTAAGCACACACATGACAAAAGTACCACTGTGCCTGGAGTTGGTGGTTCCTTCCTCTGCAAATGTAGGTTGATTCAGCACCAGTATCAAGCCAAGAAGCCATTATTCCTGACTTGTCCTTCCTCAGAGACTCTATGCTAGGTGGGTGGCCTCAAGGCTGACATGATCTGGTACCTAGCAGAACAAGATTACACCAAGCCCAATGACTAAAAATGAATGGGGGAAGGTGAGACAAAACAGAACACACACCTGGAAAATACAAGCTGAGCAGTATTAAAAGAAAGCAAACAAGACTCTGCCAACTACACAAAGGGAACTTAAAACGGAAGGGAAGGACATACAAGAGGGAAATTTGAGAGCCTGGGGTCTCTCAGGTCATTGGTTGTAAAGACAGGATCACAAAGTCATCACAGGGTCTGGGGACTGAGAGACAGACTTGGGTCTACTCTAAATCCAGGCACAGAGCAACATAGAATTTACATGGAGTCTGGATAGGAGACATGGATTCATTCTACACTAGGCTCATGTATTGGCACAACAGAGATCGAATGTTACATATGGCTTAGGTTCTGAGACAGTCAATAAAGCCTTGTTTTCATCAAGATTCCTCTGGGCTTAAGTGACCCAGGGAAACAGAAAGAAAGCTGTTCTCTGCAATGGTATCATCATCCATTTATTTACTTTCATGCTTATTTATTTATTGTGTGTGCAGATGTGCTTGGGTCATGGCACGCAAGCGGAGATCAGAGGACAACTGTGGGAATTGGTTCTCTCTACCACATGGGTCCCAGGGATTGAACTCAGGAGGTCAGGCTTGGAAGCAAGCAACTTTACCTGCTAAGCCAACTATTGTCACCTTAAGGTGTTAGAGAGGAAGGGCAGGTGGTATAAAATGACTCTCATAAAGAACCAAAGCCCTAGTAGCGGCATATAACACAAATATATATATCAGTCAAGCTAAACAAGATAAAACAAACCAAACCCCTTGAAGCCAAAGCCATACCCCTTCACGTCACGTCCTAGTAAGAAATAAAACCTCAACTATGAAGTTCAGAAAAGAAAAAATAAATAAAATAATAAAAGCACCCTGTACTCTGTACTAACACTTTCCCAGGCAATGGGGAAAGCACACAATGGAGAGGAAAAAGGGAAGAATTCTTGCTGAGCACATCATCAAAGCAACAGAACCCAAAGTAGTGACCCACCACACCCCAGAAAGCTTAGCAAGAAAACAACTGTTAGGGTATCATGTTAGGGTATCAGCTGACATAAAAACCAGATGACTGGAATTCCAAAATCACAGCACAAGCCAAGGGCAAACTGGAGTGAAGGGGACAGATATAACCAAGTAAAGAATAAAAAAGTTTGGGAAAAAGACTAAGATGACTGAAAAATAGCAAACAAGTAAGAAAAGTAAGCAAAAAATCTTTTATAAGACTAAGACTCATAGATACAAATTAAAAACATGACTTAGACACTATTGAAAAAGGAATCTTTTAAGCAGAAACCCCCAAAATGGACAAGTGACAAGGACCTAAAAACAGGAGAGGGAGGGCAGGAGATGTGGGCGTAACACTAGAATGTGGTCTAAAGGAGGTTTCCAGAGTTCTCTCAGGGAGAACAGAAAGCAGAGGGAAGCAATGTGTTAGACACAGTCAGAGTCACCCACAGCAGATGGAAGCTGTGACTCCTCAGGTCCAAAGTCCAAATAAGGAGAGTAAATAAAAGGAGAGCAAGAGCTGGGAGTAAGTGCAGCCGCTGAGAGTGTGCCTGGATCACGTGAAGCCCTGCGTCTGATCTGATGCCCAGCACAAACAATGCGATGTCACATGTATAATCCCAGAACTCAGAAGGGTAAAGCAGACGGACAAGAGTTCGGGTGCAAGGTGAGACCCTGTCTCAGAAATCAGTAAATTAATGCCCAGCGGTTAAGAGCACTGGCTGCTCTTCTAGAGTACCAGAGTTTAATTCCCAATATTCACACGACAGATGACAACTAATTCCAGTTCATGATACCGTCACATAGAAATACATGTAGGCAAAACACCAACAAACATAAAATAAAAATAAATATATCATTTAGAAGCTGCACGAGAGAAGCACACCAACTCTGATGCTACACTCACACAGGCCTAAGTCTGCCCAGCACGCTCCTCAAATCTGTTCTTGATTTATTTACTAACTGCTTATGGCAGAAGTCTTCTACTGTCAGAGGAGGTGGCACGATCTCTCCTCATACAGCTGTCAGTCTTTGCTTTATGAATTTCTAGACTATGTTATGGTGTGCATATGAATTTAGATGCAATGCAGAATAAAACACGGAAGAAAGCTAGCACAGCTCTGCAGGAAAAAGTCAATGCTTCCATTAAAAAAAAATACTTAATAATGACTGAGTGAAGCCTTCAACTCAAGCTGAGAAAAGAACAAAACAAGCAAAGCATAAAAAGGGGCCAGGCATGGAGACCACTTAGGAAGTGAAGCAGAAGTCAAGGTCGTCCTCAGCTACAGAGCAAGTGCAGAACCAGCCTGGCTACATGGAACCCTGTTCCAAAGCCCAGAAAGAGATGATAAATAAGCAGAAGTTTATTTTTCAAAATAAAAATGCAGTATGAAATAAGTGAAGCCCAAAGTTGCTGCCTTGAAAAAGACTCACAATATTGTTTAAAAAAAAGTCCAAGGAGAAAGGTACAAATAACTTCGTAATTGGCTCACAACAGAAAACAGCAGTCTCTTGCCCCACTCTGCCTATCTAATCCTCTGTATTCTCCAATCACCCATCCACAACTACAGAGGATAATTCCAGGGAGCCAAGGCTATACCTACAGACACCCAAGCCCCTTACAAAAAATGGCACAGTATTTGCAAAAGCCAACACACATACCATATGTATTATCACTCAAAATTTTAAAAAAAAGCAGTAAAAATGCTATGCAAGAGGTTACTGCTCTATATTCAGGGAATAACAGCAAGAAAAAAATACTGTACATATTCAATAAAGACTCATGATTTCCAAACTCTTTTTGGTACGCAGCTGTTTAAAGCTGGCATGAGGGTGCCATGGATAAAAAGGTCTGACTATATAAGACAGTGCCTACTGACGACTTAAAATGAAACGAAGGGGTTCTACTTTCTTATACATGCTGCTTCCTTTCTAGACCTCACTCCTCTCAATCCCACCAACAGACCCAGGTCACATTTTGGTGTAAGCCAACTGATATTTGCAAGATCTTGGCCATGAAGATCTATCCACACGCAGCTGTGCCACACAGCAGTTGTGGCTAGCATTTTTTCTCCTGGAGCTAATGACAGCCTTTCCTTCCATTAGTCGTTGTCCCATGCCTGCTACTAGTTTGTACACTGCTGCCTCGCTCCTCTCAGTTACCTTCTGGTTTCTCTCCTTTGACACCTGTTCTTCCCACTGCTCTTTGCTCTCACTACTTTGGGCTGGTGACCTGCGTAATCTTCTTTCATTTTCGACGAAGGACCCTCTTCCCGTTCCCTATGTGTAGAGAACATGCACATTGCTTTGGGCAGGGCAACGCTGTAAAACTCAGTAGAGGTGCTGGGATCTCAGAAGCCACGCATTTGGAGTCCAGTGTTGTGTGGTTGGCAATGTCTTCGTCAAGTGGCCTGATGGGGACAGCCTGCATACTCCAGGGTTCTCCTCACTACATTTTTTGATCCTGCTTGGAAATTTCTGGATTTGTTAAATATCTTTACCAGGTTACTGACAGTGAAAAATCTGATGGCTAAGTCTGCCTTCCTGTCATAACAATGCCCTATTGGCTTATTCTCCAACAGTTTTTTTTCTTTCCTGTAATTCTTGTGATTAGGTCTCATAATGGTACAGGTGCATCTGTGGATTTGTCATACTGATGGCCTGTTGGGTCCTTCTTGGTTGTAAACCTGCATCCTTTAGTATTTCCTTGCTATTTATCTATCTGGTTTGTTTTTGAGATAGGATTTTGTGTTACCCAAGGTACACCCAAACTTGCTATGTAGTTGAGGATAACTCTGAACTCCTGGTCCTCCTGCCTCTGCCTCTTGAAGACTGGGATGACAGGCATGTGCTACCATGTCTGTTTTAGGGACGGTGGGAATTGACCTCAGAGCTTGTGACACTAGGCAATCATCCTATCAACTGAGCCCTTTTCCCTACAGAATACTCCTAGACACCTGCAGAGTCTCAGACCATCCTCCAGTTCCCGTATCTCTTCTGTTTGTGTCCTCCATATGCTCCTCTGTATGGGAAATTCTCTCAGTAACTTTATGTCTGCTACCAGCTTTCATTTTTAGTTACTGTCCTCTGGTGTCTTCAACGATGACCTGCTCTGACTGAAGGGCACAGTGCTCTGCTGCCACCTCTCACCTAAGTGAGACTTCAGCCTGGAGGGGTTTTTAGGGGGAGGGGTTGTTTTCAAATTCCTCAGACAAGTTTGTTTGGGCTCTTGCTCACATTCAGTTTTCTCCCAGCGTCTGGAGCCTCACTCTACAGGATGGTAAGGGCTGAGCAGTCCCTCTGGTGGGTCCTTGCTCTCTCTCCCTGGTCAGTTGCTACAGAGAAATCCGTCCTCCCTATCTGGGGCCTGAGCCAGTTCCACCACTCTAAGAAGAAATGAAGAAGTCTGAAGTTGCCCAGATTCCAACACCTGACTCTTGAGTCCCTGTCCTCAGTCTCAAGTCTCTCCCAAGGGACCCAACATTCTGCTGATGGAGCAGAAATGTAGGTGGGTGGGGCCCGGGCAGGGCTGGGGCAGACCAAGAGACCAGGGCTCTGAGCAGGCCACCAGTTTGTGCTTCCCTGTACTTTCTAAGTTTCCTGGGTATCCCACTGCTGGCTTCAGCTTCTCTGGCATGCTTGGGTTAATGCCGCTGCAGACACATCCTGGCATCTTTTTAACCTTGTCAATGCTCCCCACTTTTCCCTCTGTCTTTGCATTTACGTGGAGCAGAATTCCAGGAGGGCACCAAGGCCAGGACATTCACTGTTGCCTCATGTTTAATCAGACACTCCTAAGTGGCCTTCTGAGACAGAAGCAGGGTTCCCTAAGGGGACACAGGAAGTGACAGCATCAGGTCAAAGGTCAAGAAGAACAACCTATGCTTCCCCTGCTATCCAACAACAACCTCAGCTGTCTCCTGGTGCCCTGAGTGGTGAGCCTGACTTTAAAGGGTACATGTTGACTCTTACCTGGCCACAGTTTATATTATGTTCTATGCTCAGTCACAAATAAATGCATGAAGTAAGTTCAAGTTCAAAGGACTCATCTGATTGGAAGTCAGCCAACCAGTCAGGCCAGACACCCTCTCAATCATGTTACTGCCAGTGGAAGTAACACACAGATTACTATCCTTGGTCATTTTATTACTAGTATCTGCTAGAGGCATTCGGTACACCCCACGCCAGCAGATACCAGAAATAAAATGACCGGGTATAGTATTCTGTGCATTACTTCCAATGGTCACTGATTAACATTCTCCTACTGGACAATGTATCACCCAATGAAACCTGTTCTCCATAGATCTGTGGATCGCAGCCATGTCATGTGGCCCTGAAATGCCCTCAAAGCCAGTCTGTGTGTATGTGGGGGGCGACCAAAGGCACCCCTGCCCTGTAGCCTACTTTCACAGAGACCCAGCTTGGTTCTCTCTCTGCCTCTCTCTCTCTCTCTCTCTCTCTCTCTCTCTCTCTCTCTCTCTCTCTCTCTCTCTCTCTCTCTCTCTCTCTCTCTCTCTCTCTCTCTCAAATCAGTTTTGTACCTAGTGTAACTATCAAGTTACCCACCAGACACCCACACAGGGGTTGCAGCAGAAAGAAGAGTTCCTTGACCCTCTGGGAACACTGAGCTAGCTCTACTACCAAAGTGAGGGGAAGCTTTTCTCTCAACTAAAACTAGCCACCACAGAAAATGACCCAGCAAACCAAACAGCAATCAAGCCTTTCTTGACTGGGGCTGAGTGAGGGTGTGATGTCCCCATCCTCTGGTTTCCACAGATGGGCCTTGCCCTCATCTAAGGGCCATGTTTTTCACAAACCTGGCACTCCAAGAAACCTGGCGGCAGCAGCAGATGGGGCTAGAGAGATGCCTCACTGGCCAGGAGTTCTTGCTGCTCTTCCAGAGACCACGGTTCATGTCTCAGCACCTACATGTTCATTCACAACCCTCTGCATCTCCAGTTCCAGGGGCTCTAATGCCCTCTTCTGGTCTCTATGGGCACTGCACACATGTGGTGCACAGACATGCATGCAACCAAAACAATACTACACAAAAAAAAATAAATACAAAGAAGAAGAGGAGAAGGAAGAAGAAACTGGCAGGTGCTCTCTGCTCCTATCTGTGATGAACACAGGTGACTTTCCCCAGGCAGAGGGCAAAAGTGTTAAGGACAAGATTAAAAGGATGGCCCAGGAACACAGGAACAGACAGCCACACTCCTTAGAAGAACAAGGACTGCCCAAGATATTTTCCAGAAATGCTTCCATTAGCCTTTCTGTTGCTAAAATCTGCCTAGAAAGAATGTTCTCATAGATTCCAGAACATTCCAATCACAGACTTGCAAAGCAGTGCCCCCTTGAGGTTTGGCTCTCAAGCATGTTCTGTATGTGATAAAAGTCACAGCATTCATACCAAGCTTCCTTGTAGCTTCCGTGACTGGCATCTTTCTCTACTGCCCATCAGAGAGGCTCCCAGGATACAGTATAACTAGGTAACTCGGGGATGGAGTCAATTTTTTCCTGGCCACCTTCAATTAGTAAGGGAGCCTGAGGTAATGGGATGCCCTGAAACTGTCCTCAGTTTCACACACACTGACCAAGTTCATCTCATTTTACAGATGAGGAAGATGAGTAGATGTGGTGACCCTGTGACTACCACAGGGTCAGCCCTGTCACCACACGGGGCAGGAGCCGGCATGACTAAAAGAGGCAAGTCATCATGGTTTCTGGCCCTTGCTGTGTTCACCATAGCCAGAGCTTGGTCAGTAGGACAGTAGAAAGGGTCAGGCCAAGGGGAGGAGCTCTGAGTAGCAGCTCCAACCATTGTGGGCCATGGGGACAGACAATACAAAGCCTGGGACATCCTGACAACCATGGGCATGAACCAACACATGGGCTGGAGAGATAGCTCAGCAATTAAGAGCATTGACTACTTTCCCAGAGGACCCAGGTTCAATTCCCAGCATCCACATTACAGCTCACAACTGTCTGTAACTATCGTTCCAGGGGATCTGACACTTTCATACACACAGGCAAAAATCCCAATGTACATATAATAAAGACAATTTAAAAAAACAAAAACAAGAAAAAGAGAAACCAAAAAATAAACAAACAACAACAAAAAGAAATAAAGAAAGAGAAAGAAGAAAGAAAAAATGAGCGAGCTCAACACAACAGTCTGCCCACCTTGGGTAACCCCTATTTGCCACTTTCTCCTTACCATTAAGGAGCTGAAGCTCCAGGAAGGTGTTGGAACACACCTTACACACCCACTGGCCACGCTCAGGTTCTGCGGGGACACTGGGCTCAGGGGTGACTGTAGCTGCAAGACACAAGACAGAAGGGTTAGCTACTGCAGCTGAGTAAGGCCTGATCCCTAGGTGATGATGACAAGGACAGAGATGCCCAGACTCATGAGCACATGTATTCTAGGCACTGTCTTCAGTTTCACACACACTGACCAAGTTCATCCCATTTTACAGATGAGGAATCTGGGCAAATGTGGTATCCTTGTGACTACCACAGGGTCAGCCCTGTCACCAGATGCATAATGTGCCCCCTCTCCCCCCACCCCGAATCACTAGCCTTGTGGGAGCAGAGTCCTTCAAATTCTCTGAGAGAAAAACAAGCCTTCAGGACCCACACTTGAGCTGGGCCTCATTGTGCTGACCTGTAATACCAGCTACTTAGTAGGCTGAACAAGATGACCAGAAGTCCAAGGCCCCCACTCTGGTTACAGAACAAATTCAAAGATAACTTGGCATTTTGTGAGACCCTGTCTCAAAGTTTTGTTTTGCTTTAAAGGGGGGGCTGGGTGTGTAGCTCAGAAGTAGAATACTTTACCTGAATTCTTTCTATAGCAACACACACACATACACAACTCATGTTTAAATCTTCAGTGGCTCACATAACAGGGTATGGTGAGACCTAAAACAGATACCTCTCAGTGCTAGAGAATGAAATGGCTGTGGCCCTGGCCCAACATATCCCATGGAGATTTTTGTGATAAGGGTTGTGATAACTGTTGTCTGGCAGGGAAGCCTGGTACCTGGGCAGGAGTAAGCTTTAAAATTGTTCAATTAAAAATAATTCCCACCTGTGGCAGGAGAGTGCCACCCGGACAGTGTCTCTAGTCCTCCAATGACACACGGGAACCCGAGGAGGGACCAGGACGGGGGCTCCAGGAACACAGACTGACCTTGGCGATGCAGATGGGAAGGGGACTGCAGGCTCCTTTCCAAGTCACAGGCATTCTCCTGGGACCTGCACTGGGCATGCCTCAAGATCTGATCTAGCCAGTTTGTCTGTGCGGCCAGCTTACAGCTACCCTTCTTGCCTGTTATATCCAGACCCATCACCACGTAGCTTAACGCTCCAGAGGCCACTCGGAAGAAGTACCTGAGTCCAGACAGTCTCCTAGATCTGCAGCTATATACCCACCATGCACCAGGAAAGAGCACATCCCGTCTCTCTGCATCCTAAACTAGTGCCAAGAACACAAAGAATAGAGATGAGGATGCAGACCATCACGGCTGGGGAAGAAGCATATGCAATGTGGAACCTGTCAGACTGAAATCAGAGATAGAAAAAGGGAACAACGAGGTGGCAGATAGGAACTGCACCCTGAATGTCCCATCCAATGTCTGAACTCTTCTTTGCCACTTTCTAGGGATCTGCTGGTTAGGGACTCCCAGGAAATTGGGAACAAATAGAAATGAGTCAAATTCTCATCCAGGTTCCCAAACATACAGAGTTTCCCCAAGAAGGGGTTCAAAAAATGAGTCATTGGGGTCCAGGAAGGGCTCAGCAGGAAAAGGCACCTGCCACCAACCCCAATGACCTGAGATCAATGGGACCCATGAGATGAAGGAAAGAACCAAATCCCACAAGCTGATTCTAGCCCCATGGCGTGTACACACACACACACACACACACACACACACACACACACACACAAATAGCTTTTTAAAAAGGAGCCCTTGGGACACAGGGCTGGAATTCATTTCATCTAAGAGGCACACCATCTCCTACAATAATCACACAAGAGAATTTATGCTGCCCCAAACAGGCCCCTAATCTTGGCTACCTGCTGCTCTGGCACTGAGTGAAGACTTCTCATTGGAAGAACCAGGCAGTCACGATAGAAGATTTGCCCAACGGTAACTTTACAAGGTAAAAACATTCTCTAAGAAAAAAACCAAGAGGCAAAGGCCAGCATTGAGTCCCTAAGTACCACCTGACATTTCCTAACACAGGGAAATTGCTCAGCCAAACAATGTGACACAGTCACAAAGTTTACAGCAACATGGACAGCATAAGAAGAGAAGTTTCAGGTGTGAGCACAGTCAAAACCAAGTAACAGAAGGGCAGACACAGGCCAACTGTGAAAAGTCCAGCAAAACACACAGCAGCTCAGCTTGGGGCAGAGGGTCACTGAGGGTGAAATCAGGAGGGGAGGGTGGGCTAATCTACAGGAGACTGTGGTAGAGTCACACACTTCCACACACCTACTGAAAGCCCCTGAAGTGAGTACTCAACACGTTGAGTTCAACTGAATACATTGAAACTAGTTTGAAAATTAGAAAACACTAATCACAAAGCCAGAGGCAGAGAGAGAGGGGGAGAGAGGGAGACAGACAGACAGACAGACAGACAGACAAGCAGGCCAGACTGCGGGCATAACACAGCTTCCGAGGGACTAGAAGATGTTACCCTCTGTCTTTCTCAACAGAAGGGTGATTTTGAGCCCATGCTCCCCACTACATCCACCTGTACATGCCCCCCACTACATCCACCTGTGCATGCCCTTTGGAGGAAAGCAAGCCTCTCTTAGTGTGGGCTCAGGGAAACATGAACCCAGAATAGCAGTCCATAGCCAGAACAAAGAATCCAAGTCCATTTTCAGGGGCATCATAGCTGAAGCAGGATGAAACCTGTATAACTTCTCTCTCTCTCTTTCTTCTCCTTCTTTCCTTCCTTCCTTCCTTCCTTCCTTCCTTCCTTCCTTCCTTCCTTCCTTCCTTCCTTCCTTCCTTCCTTCCTTCCTTCCTTCCTTTCTGAGACAAGGTTTCTCTATGGCTGTCCTGGAACTCACTCTGTAGACCAGGTTGGCATCGCACACACAGAGATCTGCTTGTTTCTGACCCCCAAGTGCTGGGATTAAAGGTGCGAGCCTCCACATCTGGGTAGAAACCTGTGTTCTTTAAGCAGATGTTCCTAAACTCACAGTGCTACCTAGTGAAGCTGCTGTTAAGTGCAAACACCACGCCTACTGCACCCCCGCTGTGACAGCGAATAGTGTGGCTGTTCTCCTAGTGGTCATGTGGCCGCTGAGAGCTGCAGTTGCCCAGCCTCAAGAGAATCCTACCACCTACCCATCACAGGCCGAGGGAAGACCAAAGCTTATAGTAGAGATTTTCTAGTCAATGTTCTCCACCCATGCCATCCATCATAAAAAAAAAAAAATCATTAAATTGAACCAATAGAAGCTAGAGACCATCCATATTTAGGACCTGATTTTAGAGGTCGACAAACTGATTTGTGCAACAAAGACACCCATCCAGGGGGAAATGTGAAAGGGACCCACCTAGGGAGAGGACAAAGTGACGTCCACAAGACTTACTCCACCTTGGGGTGACAAACTCCCTGGTACACACACAAGGACTAGTGCTAAGAAGAATGAAAAGTCCACCCCTCTCAGGTCCAACCAGGGAACTAACCAATCAGTACTGCTTTCTAGATGCTTCACTCTTCTCTTCAGAGGCCTTGCTCTCTGTGGGCTTCTGAGACGTGCGCAAGGAGGGCTGCAATGCTCTGTGAGGATACTGCGGAGAGGGACTTAGGGAAAGGACAGACGCGGGGGGGGGGGGGCACAGAGAGGTAGGTGGCAAGGTGTGATGGAAGTTGCCACTTAAACTGTCAGTGGGGAAGCCCAGGGGAGCATATGCCAGCAGCAGCCAGCCTGGGAGAGCCAGATAAGTGCTCCAAAGATATAAAGACATGAAGATTCTAGCTGCCATCTGGGTGACAGTAGCCAGTGATCTGCACCACTTACAAGTTGTCCCAACACACAGTGAAGTATCTCTAGGTTCCAAAGCTGGGAGAAGCCATATCTGTGCTTGGCTCCTTTTGTGCTGCTTTATGAGGCTGGGCTCAGGCTCTTCCATTCAGCTAAACCACAACTGACTATAAACACAGGACAGGACAGAGCCCTCTGATTCATGAACCTCCACCTGTAAGATCTTTGCAAGATGTTAAGAACTGCCCCATGAAGCCTTTCTATCACACTACAGGAAGAAACCATTTTCATGAGAGGTAACTATATCTGGTTCAGAAGCCAGAGTTAACCCACTTGGATGTTGAAAACCCTTAGTAACAACAATGAGCAAGGCTCTGCCCTGGGGGATGCCCAGGACCCAGGTTAATAGGGCAAGCACTGTGACTACAGTGACTGGCTTCTCCATCAGGAGATCCTAAACCTAGTGGCTCACCGAAATGATTCCTCCATGCAGAACTACATTTCTTGAATGCATATAAACAGGACACACACAAACACATACATATACCTCTGCATATGCATATACATACAATCCTGTATATCTGTACTTACAGACAAGCATATGCACACATCTGTATATCTGAGCATATACAGGCACAGACCTATAAGTCTACACACATGCTAATATAGGTACATACCTGTGCATCTGTATGTACTTCTAAATGACTACATATATTAACAATGTATGTAGTCCCATCGATTCATACACTCTAACACATATACAAACCTATACATCTAGACGAATACAAAATGTGTACCGTGAATTGCATACATGCTGACAAATGCACAGACTGGTGCATCTGCATGCACACATCTATAAACACACAAAGGCACTGTGCATCTGTTACTACACAAGAGCACGTTCTCTGCAGCTTAAAACAGTCACATGCACACACCAAGGCATCTGTCTAGACATCCACACTTTTGCCTGGGCACGCATACATACATGTGCGTGAACCAGACTTGGGGAGGAGCGGCTATCCAGTACACAGTGGCAGTACCAGCACACTGACAGCACAGCAGCCAGATCTGTCGTTCCAGCCCCTGGTTCCCTCACCTTCTGCATTGCGATGTGGCTGCTTTCTGAGCCTCACCTTCTATACTGCCCCTGGTTCCCTCACCTTCTACACCAGCACTTCTCCATCTATGGGTCACAAACCCTTGGGGGGGGGATTTGAACAACCCTTTTTACAGGAGTTGCCTAAGACCACCCCAAAACACAGACATTTACATTATGATTCATAACAGTAGCAAAATTAGTTATGACGTAGCAACAAAAATAATCTTAAGGTTGGGGTTACAACATGAAGAACTGTTCTGAAGGGTCAAAGCATTAGGAAGGTTGAGAACTGCTGTTCTGCACTGTCTGTCACCTGTCCTGGACCCACCTTCCTTCATTTGGCCGTCCCTGGCCTCTGTGCTTCCTCACAGCTCCAGGAGGGGGGGCCACTGTGGGAGCCCTGAGACCAAAGCAAGTGCCAACCTGTTTTATACTCAAGTGCCTTAAATCACCTAAAGACAGAGAGACACTGTCTCTGTCACCCCACAGGCCCAGGCATGGGGGCCAAGCACTGCACGGATTCCATCCCACTGCCCCCATCTCAGCTGCTGGCACCTTCCTTAGCATCTCTGGCAAGGGGCCCAACCACAGTGAAGAAGTAAGACGTACCCTGGATGCTAGAGCAGGCCTGCTTCAGCATGGGCTTGTCCATCTTCTTGGCATAAAAGGCAGCATACCACACACGAAGCTCAGTGCCTGCAGGAATATCCTTCGAGGTGGTGAAATACACATCACTGCCGTGCTGGTAGGCGGTCAGGTTCTGGTGCCCAGGCTCCAGTGCTGGTCGCACCAGCATCATCCAATTGCAATCGTCTTCGTTGGAAGTGTCGAAGCACACAGCATGTCCGTCCTTCTGGAAAACCTGAGGGGAGGGTCATAGACTGGTTAGTGACCAGTCTATCAGTGTGGCATGGGGCCATGGAGGGGAAAACACTGCTTCTGATAGGACCTGCTGACAAGCTGTTTGCCACAGCCAGGGGATCAGAGAAAGATTTGGTGGCTTAGATGGCTCAGGTGGGTCACAGCAAAGAAGTGACCCACCTGAGCTCTCCTCCTGTGCAGACATTGAGGGGACCCTGAGCTCTTCTCCTGTGCAGACATCAAGGGGGCCCTGAGTTCTCCTCCTGTGTAGATATAAAGGGGACCCTGAGCTCTCCTCCTGTGCAGACATCGAGGGGACCCTGAGCTCTCCTCCTCTGCAGACATCATGAAGACCCTGACTTCTCCAGTCCAGCAATGAGCTTTTCTCCCATCCTCATTGGGAATGGGACACCTGAGTTCTCTCCATGGCTCAGGTAGATATCCAGAAATTGGAATTCTCCTCCTGGTTCTGCTCCAAGCATGGCATCAGCCGAGTTCTTCAGTTCAGGTAAGCTGTCTCTTATCAGCTTCAGGGTTAATTGAGAGCAGGCAGGAAGAGCCTTTAGTGACTTTAAGTTTGAGTTAGCACAAGTATAGGGTCTATTCTCTACCTGTGGAGTGACGATTGCTTCCTCAGGGACCCTGTCCCATTGCCAAGCTTTTCCTGAACAGACCCCCTAAGTTTGAGACCCTCAGAAATGCAGGGAAAAACCTGGAGGCCACCAGCTGCTCAGTGACCCCTAGTGGGTGTGGAAGGCACATTTCCACCCCCCTCTCAGGGACACAGGGCTTCCCTTGGGACACAAAGGTGCTCAGAGCTAAGAACAAGTTGATACCTGAAAATAACCTTTAGAATTGAGGAGGTAAAAAGAAGTCAGACAGGCATGAAGGAGTTTCCCCAGCCATGTGATGACACCATTGTGTACCCATAACCTGGGCCCACAGAGGGCACTAAGCTGCCTTTCTGGGCTCAGATTTAGGCCTTTCCGATCATTCTTTAGTACAGAATCTTTCTTTATGCCCCCATTCAGCAGGAAGCAGTTTGGAGAGAAATAACTGCGCCCATATTCCCAAATATTGTTTATAAATGTTCTTTTACATTTAAAGGGGGAAATGACATAGGTGTGAATAATTTGCTTTGGTATGGATTTTAAGGTCAATATTGTTATATGTATTTCTGATATTGATTAAGGTATTGCGATTGTGTAGTTCATTTAAAATGTAATTTATAATTAGGAAATATAGGTTGTTAATGGATAATCATCACTAATAGTTAACCTTGTAGTCATGTTAATTAGATTTTCTAGATATATAGAGATATATTTCAGTTAGATAGGCATTCTTCATATCTTTCAAAGGCTACAGAATATGGCATTTAAATGTTTTAATAACTTAGGGCTTTTCATGACAATGAGACACGTCTGCTCCTGGCAGCACCAGCTACTTCGAGAGGAAGATGGGCATCGAAGAGGATCCTTATGGAGTTGGATAGTCATTTGGGCAAGAAACTGCTCTTGCCTGGACTGTTGCATAAACTGAACACAGAGAACCCTCAGAGAGAGGACTGCTGAACTTGCCTAAAGGTGAGATGGTCTTTCGGGGTTCCTGCTTCATGAAAGAGTCTGCGAGACATTCTGTAGGACACAGCAGAAAATGACTGAACTGTCTTTGAAATTTCCTGCTTCATGGAAATGTCTCTGGATACCATGGGCCTGTAGGCCGAAGATGGATGCCCCAACGGTACAGAGGAACTTTGGGTGACTGTCCAGGCAGTGAAATGTCTCTGTCATTTCTAGAGTTTTGGATTTCTTGTTTACTTAAGTATTATTATATTCTTCTGGAGTCTTTGATGGAGTTGAAGAATAAATAGTTATAGTTTTCCTTAGTTATGATAAGAGATAAAATAGATATAAATATTGTAACTGTAATTCTTACTTGATAACTGTTTTGTTATATGTAATTTTACTATGTTAAAGTTAAAGCCTTTCTTTTTTTGCTTAAACAGAAAAAGGGGAAATGATGTGGGAGTGATTTCTTACTAATAAAGAAACTGCCTAGGCCCATTTGATAGGCCAACCCTTAGGTAGGCGGAGAAAGCAGAACAGGATGCTGGGAGAAAGAAGCTGAGTAAGGAGTCGCCATGGTTCTCCCACTCCAGACAGACGCAGGTTAAGATCCTCCCTGGTAAGCCACCTCGTGGGCTACACAAAATATTAGAAATGGGTTAAAACAATTTGTAAGAGTTAGCCAATAAGAGGCTACAGATAACGGGCCAGGCAGTGTTTGAAAAAATACAGTTTCCGTGTAATTATTTCAGGGCATAAGCTAGCCATGTGGGCGGCTGGGTGCCGGGGACGCAGCCCTGCCGCTCCTATTTCAACAGATTTTTTTTTTAAGTATCTGTGATCAGATAAATGTCTTTCCTCTTTGGCTGAAGTCTGTCCCATAAGCTCAATATCCCAGGAGTGCCAAACTAAGGCTACAACACCTAAGGTTGGTGGCTGCTTCTCTCGGGTCTCAGAAGAAGCACACTGTCTTTAGGGCTGCTGAGGAGCAACTCAGCCCTCATTTGTTTAGGTCCTAACTATTTCCGAAGGTTTGCCCTGTGTGTGAGCCTCCTCAGTCTCAGAAGGCTTCCTGGGGTTCACTTTAGATCCTCAGTCATCCCTGTAACTGACGTCCACTCTCTTTCTCTTGGCGTTATATCCAAGTTGGAGGTACCCATTCCCCCTCAACCAGATATGCTCTGTGCAGCTGCCTAGCCCCATGCAGTCAGTCACTCAAGTCTCGGAGAGCTTCCTGCCACTCATACATGAGTGAGATTACCACACTGGTGTAGGAAGCCACAGAGATCATTGCTGTGCTGCAGCCACAGCACCTGCTGGGGGAGGACAAAGATCACACCAGCATGGGGTCACTCCCGTGTGCTCTTAAACGCACTCCCTAAAGACCTACAAGCTAGTAGGCATTGTCTTAACCCTCACACTCTGAGGAATAAAAACTGAACTGAAGGAATGATTTATAAATCATCACCCCCTCAGATGTCCTCATTCCATTCCCATCAGGAATCATGCAGCCCCAGATTCTGAGGGAGCCACAAAGTCCCCTGCCCATGCAACTTTTACCTTCAGGGGAAACACAGACTCTTTCTCCCACTTCGCGACCCTCCTGGACTCAAATGGACCAAACTGTGTGCGCTTGACTAGCTGGGTTACTGCAAACACACCTTCAGCCCCATCATCCAGGCGTCTGATCTCCAGGTTAGAGGGGAGGGAGGACCTGAAAGCAGAAGAAGTTTCAAAGAGGTCCTGCCACCTTACCCACTGATCGGAGCACCGAGGTGCCTACAAGCCCCCATCATGCTCCAAAGATGCTCTCTGACAGGGAGCAGAATCTCTTCCTATAAATGGGAACAGAAATGGGGCTAGGCTTGTGAGGACCCAGAGCCCATATACTAAGGGAAACATTTACAGCCCCACAAGACAATGCCAACCCCACATTCCTAGTGTGGGGGCTGGTATATAAGAACTAAATCAGACAAGGCTATGACCTTCCAGGTTGTAGAGAATGGTGGAGGAAGGGAGAAAGAGAGGGGGACAGAGCATGTCAGGCTGGAGAGCAACAAAGGGCTCTGGTCTGGGAGGGCTGGATCAGCTTCACTGAGGACGTGCCTTTATTAGCCAGACTATAAGGTCAAAGAAAATGATGGAAAAAAAAGTCGTGGAGCTGGGACCTCATGTTTAGAAGCAGACGGAGGTAGACATCCTCCCTGGGGATGAGCAGATGCTGCAAGAGTCAATGGCTCTGCACTCAATGTCTTCAGCTGGATTTTGATGGGCAACTGGCACCTCACCCCCACAGAGGAGCTCATCAGCTCTCTACTTTGGGCAAAAATATTTTGAAAACTTAAGCTACAAATAAAGATGAATAAATGGGGGTACATACCAGTTGGGGGATTTCTAGAGACAGTGATAAGACACTGAGTATTTTAGTCTAGCATCAGACCAAGTTAGGCACCATCAGAGCCTCAGAAGGGTAACTGAGGTTCTCCAAGTCTCAAGCTACTGGTAGCTTATGGACCCTTACCCTAGGTCTCTGAAGGCACAGACCTCACAGGAATACATGGGCCTGCAGAGCAATGCCTGGCTACTAAGCTGTCTTGGTACATCTGCAAGCTTTGTTTTTCCTGGTAGCTACAGCAGCTTGACCTGTTTCCTGGATTACCTACCCAGAACCCTTACCTGACTGAGCTTATTCTGTCCAAGTGCATACCTGTCGAACACAGACGAAACCCAACAGGCAATAATTTGTCCATTCCCCGCCTGAGACAGGGTTTCTCTGTGTAGCCCTGGCTGTCGTGGAACTCACTCTGTAGGCCAGGCTGGCCTCAAACTCACAGAGATCACCCTGCCTGTACTTCCTGAGTGCTGAGATCAGAAATATGCACCACCACTGCCTGGTGAGTGTAGCCACTTTTGCTCAAGGCATAAACTGATGAAGTCCAGGCTGATGCAGCCCAGATGCCAAGGTTCCTGACTATACCAAGGAAACACATCCTCATGCTTTGAAACTCTTAGGACTCATCCCAGCAAGAAGTGTCCAGCCTCTTGGGGGATGGACCCCCCTCCCCAACACACACAATCTTTCACTTTGACTCTCAAGCCTCCTTCTATCTGTAGATACTTGGGGCCTCTGCACTGTGGCCACAGCAGACACGTAAAGAGCCCTTCTTCATAGACAGAACTGCTGTGGAAGCTTAGGCACTCACTCACCTTGCCCTGCTCAGTACAAAGGAGTCCTTGACCATGACCACAGGACCCAGTTCAGGACACTCTGAGTCATGGTACTGGCTACAGTCTTCACACCCTGTAAAACAGACACTGAACGTCAGGGAGAGAGAAACCCAAAGATCACAAACCTGGGAAAGGGGGCTCTAATGCAATGCAGTTCCTGAGACATGTGCTAATACAAGACAAGCAAGGGTACAGCAGATACAGGAGGCCTGCTCACAGAAGTCAGCTCTTAGTGCTCCTGATAGCACAGAATGCCAAGCAGGAGCCCCTTCTCAAGAGCACCAGTCTATGGCACTTTCAAACCCCACACATCAATCGTCTGCATGGTTAGGAAAATCAGGATCTAGGATAGTACTAACCCATTACCCTAAATCTCATACTCTTCACTCTTTCTAAACCTTGGGTGACTTTCTGAGTTAAACGTCAGCCAGTCATGTGCCCCTAACGGAGTACTGAAGAGAAGTGATCTGAGGCCACAGCACTGTAGCAGACAGGTAATAGCCAGGTTCTCAAACAATTGAACAAATTATAGAAGTGCATGTCTGTGCTATGCGAACAAAATGTGGATGTAGCTTTCCCTAGACAGGAAGTCAATCCCATCTGCATTCTATGACATCATACTAGCCACAGAGAGGTCTATGGGTCACTTACAGATAAACATGAGCTCCTCACTGTCATCTTCAGCCATTGCTGACACCTGTCAAGATACATGAGAGATCCATTAACAGTGAGCTTTTACAACATAGTTTATGTGTGGGTTTCCCTATGTGTACAGGTGCACATACACCTCTGTGTGCAGGTGTGTGAAGGCCAAAGTCACTGTTAGATGTCAATCTTCTGGAGTCATCCACCTAGTTCTCCAAGATATGGACGTTCCCTGGGGCCTGGGGTTTGCCAGTGAGGCCAAGGATGGCCAAGGAGCAGCAGGGATTCTGTCGCTGCCTCCCCAGTGCAGGAATTACAAGGAAATGCCACAAGCCCAGCTTTTAAAATGTGGGTGCTGGGGATCGACCCCAGGTCCTCATGCTTGCCTGGAAAGCACTTAACTGAGTGAGCCATTTCTTCAGCTCACTAACAGTTTTTAGATAATGTCTTCTAAGACTCCTTGATCCTGTGCAGGGATATAACACTGGAATCCCTACTTCTAACTTTTCTCACCTACAGTAATACTGTTTCTTAGGAAGAGCAATAGATTTGAATGCCTTCAAGACAAGGGGGCCGTAATGAACTCAGTTCTCCATTGTTTTGCAGTAGCTGTCATTTATAAAATATACACTGTATTTTAGAACCCACTTTTCTTGCTGCCGCTGATTCTCTGCCCTGTCAAGGCTGTGAATTCTGCACAGAGTCATTTCTACTGCAATCTGTCCTCCAGTATCTAGCTTGTGCCAATGACATAGAGCTTTGTAAAGCTATTTCTATTTCCCATGCATCCTTTGAAGGTTGCCTCAAAAGCCATCTCTATAGTGGACAGTTAAGCACGGACAGATGTTTCAGACAGAGTGATGCAGGTGTTGTTCATTCTGGGATATCAGATGCCTAAGCTCTAAGATCGATATAAAAACATTAACTTCATGCAGTGTGGGGAGAAACACAGTGAGGGGTACTCAGCATGTCCCACCCAATAATCCTCCCCACTTCACATCCTTCTTGCTCTCTGATCACTCTGCCTCTCTGGTGCACACCGCTGATCATCATCTCAGGAAAGGATGCAAGCTGATATGCACTTCCTGAATGTTAGTCTCTCTTGCTCTCCAAAACCATCCCAACCCCAGCAACTTGAAGAATAGAACACCCCAGTGAAAAATCAGAGCAGCTGAGCAATCTATTACTGAGCAAAGAAGGGAAGGGTTAAGAACATCAGGATGAGAACTATACACAATCCAGGCAGATGAATTCCCAGTTTTCAAGGTTTCCACACTGCCTTAAAATGCTAAAAAACAACTAGGCACATTAATCCCCAAACTCAGTATAACACTTTCCTTTTCTTGAATCAGTATCTAAGCTGGCTCAAGGGCCTAGTAACTCTAACCCAGTTCCATGCCTCCATCTGGCCTCAAAACTCCTGGCAGGTGGGTACCATGTGGAGTGGGTACCAACCCAGAATAGGGATAGTGGCTGGTCACTGAGCAGAAGGCAAGGAGGGATCGGCTTAGTTCCAGGGAATCATTCTGTGGTTAGTGCTGCTGGCTGGAGGCCTATGGGAAACACAGCATCCCAGTGAGGCATGCAGGATGGGCAAAGCTACCCTCTTCATGGCAGCTGAGAAGCAAATGTCTCCAGGGAGGAGCATTTTCCTAATGACCTTTCTTCCACTAGGTTCCGCCTCCTAAAGGTTATGCCATCACCCACCAGTACCATCAGCTGGAGCCCAAACTTGTAAGCTACAAACTTCAGGTAGGTAGGTGGGTGGGTGGGTGGGTGGGTGGGTGTAAGAGTCACAACCGTAACAAGCAGCATCAGGGTCTGTGCACTACAGCAGAAACCAGCTCTATACACCAGTTACATGCAGATCAGAGGGCTCTGCAACCGGAACAGGTAACAGGAGGCTACCCCAAGCCATGGCTAGATCCCAGCAGGACACAGAACACAGCCCACAAAGCTAATCAGAGCAGAGCAGAGGAAAAAGAACCTAGTCTGTTCTGCTTGTTTTGGAACTAGAATCTGTACACAGAGGTGTGGTAGGGTGCTTCTCCCTAGGGTAGCAGCCTAGGCTCCAGTTCCACCCCTCCCAGCAGTACAAAGACAGGAACCCTGAGCCAGGAGGCTTTAGATGGTGTTGTAGAAAGTGAGAGCACAGGAAATGTTGTGAGGCTGGTCACTTTCATGGGGCTCAACATGGGAACCCTGGGCATTCTTTATTAGTAGTATCTGGTCCCCAAAGCACAGCTTCTAGACTCTTCTTCCAAGCAGGGGTCACGTGAAGTGATGACGTACGTTTTCAAAGTTTGCTTACATCCATTAATGTGCTTGGCTATAGAAGCCAAGTTCTGTCCTCAGATTCTATGACGCTCCCACATTAACAGAACAGTGTTGGTGTAGTTAACACACACCTCTGGCCATTCCCTGCCCCCTCCACACACACAAAGCAGGCTAAAGCAGAAAAACTGAGCTCAAGGCAAGTCTGGGATATACAGGGATAGCTTGTCTAAATACCAAAAGTGAGGAGGAAATCCCCAAAGAAGGAATTATAAAGTACTATCTAGTGCAAAAGAAGAAGGGGAAAGGTTGCCTCTCTCCAGGGTTTCAACGTATGTTCCATGGACCAGGAGGCAGCAGCAGTACTGAATGCTTACTGGATGCTTGAACACCTGCCCAGCAGTTGGCTAGGGCCCAGCAGGTTTTCTGTGCCCTTCAGCTGACTCAGCTGTAGCCCAAACCTGGCCCGTGCCTACAGCACACCAATTAAACATGGCTACAATGGCAAAGGGCCACTGTGGCATTATCAGGAAACCAAATGCATTTTCAGTGTCTAGGAGATTCTGTCAAGGACCTCTTGAATCTAACTGGTTGGTGATACAAGTGAGGGTGAACTCTGGGCATACGTTCCCTAGCAGATACAGCTTGCGCCAGGTGACAAGTGTAACGGTAATATTCACTCTCAAAGGGACAGGATCTACAATCATCGAGGGCACTGTGTAGATTAGGCTAACCTCTGGGCGAAGAATACCCACCTTAACTGTGGGCAGCACCATTCTGTGGGCTGGGGTCCTGGACTGAGTAAAAATGAGAAAGCAAGCTGAGCATCAGCGTTTTTCACTCTCTGCTTCAGGAATGAGGATACAATGTGTCCATCTCCCTATCTCCCTCGTGCTCCTGCTGCTACTGATGGACTGTATTATGTCAAAATAAGCTTTTTTCCTTTAAGTTACTTTTGTGTGGTATTTTATTGCACCAATAGGAAAAATTAAATAAGACAAGCATGTTAATGGGAGCTCTCAGTCTACCTACCCCAAACTTAACCATGAAGCTATGGTGATGGAGATCTGGGCAGAAAGGAGCTCAACAGACAGACACAGACCCACACACACCCTATCAAGTTTCCACAATGACAGAAGTGGTTAAGAGGAGGGAGCGCCTTCTTCCCTCGAATGGTGCTGGACATCCACGTGCAAAAAATTAACCCTGACCCCACGTCTTATTAAAAAAAAATAGCACAACTCTGGGTGTGGTGAGCAGATAATCCCAGGATAACAAGGCTGAGGCAGGAGAATCACAAGCTCCAGGTCAGATGTGGCTTTATAGAGGACCCTGTTTCAACATAAACCATTAAATCTGTTGACGTGTCCACGTGACTATCTCAGGATTCTTAAGGATTCTGTTCTGATGGCTGCTGACACCACACAAGAGAAGGGCAATCAACAGCCTGCCACTTCAGCCTTACTGTGAGGCTTCAAGACTTCCCGCCTTAGTCTTTCCAGTTCCTTTGCCTCTCCACAGAATTTCTTTTCTTCCTCTTCCTCCTCCTCTTTCTTTCTTTTTCTTTTTCTTTTTTTTTTTTTTTGCATTGTTTTGTTGAGACAGGGTCTGACTATATGTCCCTGAAACTTGCTGTGTAAATGAAGCTGGTCTTGAACTCAAGACATCTGCCTGAGTGTTGGATTGATTCAAGGCATGCATTCCCATGCTGGGCTTCTCCACAGAAACTTTAGGACAACCCTGTTCACACCTGTGAAAGTTCTTGGAAGATTCAAACACATAGACTTAGCTGCCCTTTGCTTACTCTCATACCCCAAGGATCCTCATGTATGCAATTCACATTTAAGGAACTTTCTCACATTAAATCTTGGAGATGTAGTTATGTTCTTCACTTACAATGGACCTTTACAGCTCACGATTTGAAAGTCATCTCTGGTTTAGAGGCCCTGGGGATTTCTGTTTAAACAAAAGGACCATCCTTCCCATTGGTACAAGCTTTCAGAGCTACATTAATAGCAATAGGGGAGAAATCTCAATAGGGAAAAAGCAAATGAACAGTTTCTCAAACTCTGCACTGTGATCTAGGTTTGATAGGTGATAAAGGAGCCCAGGAGTAGGCAGAGATAATCTTGAGCTAACACTCGTGAGCACTACATGCTCCACTCGAGATACACATCAGGCATCGGAGGTCTGGGGAATCTCTCAGAAAAGATGGGCTGGCCGGCAGCAGCTCATCAGCCTAGCTGGGTAGAGGGAACTTCCCTTTCTGATGGACAAGCTGAAGGGTCACAGGATTATACTCAACCTTGCACTAGTACAGGAGGGCTAGATGCCAGATTCCAGCGTACTTGCCACTGCTGACGCTGGAGGGTGATCTTCACCCTTTCCTGGACCTTGGTTTCCTCAATGGACTATACAGTCTGAGTTCCTTTCTGGTCTGCTCTAAACAACTGCAGGCGGGGTCTTCCAACCCTTAGTCCTACCACCTTGTCCTCCTATGCCTATTCCTGTGTGAAAACTGACACCTGAGGGCAGGTGTATACCTAGATGCAGATGCAGAATGGTTCCAGCATGCCATCCATACCAGAAGATCAGCACAACCACCAACCCAGAAGTGACCCCTTACTTAAACCTCTTGGTCACCTGAGCTCTGGCTCCCATATTTGGCTTTTTGGTCTGTGAGCTATTCCTAAGATTGTTTCCTATGGAGCGTGATGCTTTTTACCATTAAATGATTGTTCCTTTCTGAACTACCTGCTTATTTAGTGTCTTTCCCTG